CTTCATCATCTTTTATCTTCACAGGAACTTTTCAGACTAGCTTTCTCTCCTGTGTGTAGGCGTAATAGTATTGGCTGTTTTAGCTGTAAGTCTAGGTTTTTACTCATAAGGGCAAGGCTAAAATAGCCTTTTTTTAGCCTTTTTCTGAAGCTAGCAAGCTTTCAATTTGATTTTTGATTTGTATATATATATATATATAAATACATATAGAGTCTATATGTATTTATATCATATATTATAGACTTTGACTTTCGTATATGCACACACAAATATCTGCACAAATACATATGTTTATATATGTATACATATTAAGTTCGTGTAGCGCTTAGTCAAGATAAAAAAAAGCTAAAAAGCTGCCATAAATCAAATTAATTTGCATTGATTTTTTTATCAGTGTACTCTTATCAGATATAACTGACATAGCCGTAAATACCCTGAATTCCCGCTAAAAGTAGCTATTTTTTGGCTGTCACCGAAAAGTAGGCAGCACTGCTGCAAGTTTAAGATGATGTCAAAGTGCTGTTTAGCTACATTTACACAGTCCTCAAAATTCATAACCATTACTCACTCATAACCCTGATGACTCAACCAGTAACAGCAAACACAAAAATAATAACAAGAAAGTGAAGCACCACAAACAACAACAACAACAACCAAAAAGTGCATGGAATAAGCCACTTAGCGTTGGCGTTGACGTTGCCTGATTGATTTTCACATATAAATTGAATAGTTATTAATAGCAATTGCCATTTGCATAGCGAAAGGGCTGCCAGATAGCCGCAATCAAGGCATCTAACTAATGCAGGGGCGAGGACTCAAGGGGAGCGCAGTGCGCGGTTGCTATTGGAAATGCTTATCCTGCGGCAAAGGTCACCGTAAAAACAGCCCGTGCCTTGGAAAGGGCGCTGCGCGTGGGCGCTGCCCCGATGTGGGTGGTTGGGTGTTTGTTTGCTGAGTGGGTGCCAAAAATTGTGCTTGAAAAATCGATAGGGGCTGCGTGTTAGGGGTCGTGGCTACAGCCTCGTTTGATAACAATATATAGATGGTAATTTTTTCTTTATAAATACATATATTTTGCATATCAGCAGATGCTAATTAGAGTTCTACATAAATAAATAAATAATTAGCTGTATCACTATGTTCAAAGGGGGGCGTCATAGTTATCACAACCTTGTCGACACAATTGTGTGTGTGTGTATGTTAGTCACAACAGCAGAAAAATTAACAGCAGAAAAACTAACATATTGGAATGTTTGTTCATTGCACTTACTTTGGCCAACTAAAACTTTTAACGCCATGTTTTCTGGATTGCGTTAAATTCACTGACCCGGCAATTAATCAATAAATAATTTAATTTCTTTTGTATTTAAGTGCGATCGTCGCACAATACGCAATATCCAAAACACCGTTCCACAATAATAAATCACAAGGAATTTGACACCACTGGGAACACAAAATACAAAAAAAAAATAATAACTTAGCCTCTAAACGTGGTTGAAAACGCGGCAAATATCTTAATTGTTTACTCGAAGTCGACGCGTATTTTACTTTGTATATAATTGCAGATTGTGTGAGCAGAACTTCCAACTTTTTGCTTTCCAGGGCTGGCTTTAAATATCGATATGTTTGCGAAATGGATGTATGAATAACAGGGCGATAGTCGTGATAGGCCGACTGGGGTAAAAATATCGATACCTGTTGTCACATATGGCTGCCGAAATAGTGTTTGGTTTCCACATATATTAATTACAATTAAAGGCTTTGTATGTTTACATAAAAACAATATAACTTTATTTGAAAATTTCTTCAAAATGTAACTGTAAATTGATTGCTATGAATAAATAAAACATTTTAAATTCAATCTCACTCGAGTTGTCTGGCAGCACCATAACAACGGAGTGGCACCTCTACAAGAAATAACGCTCAATTTCGTAGTCTTTAACGTTCATATAATTTGTTGTATGATTAATACTAAAAAAAACAGAAACATCTTATCACAATATGTAATATAGGGGGAAGAAACAAAATTAATAAATTATACTATCAATTAAGCTACAAAGGCATCAACTCCGCCAAGGACTCGGCGATTGTGCTATCACGGAAGCGTCCAATACGCAGCGCGTAGGAAATAACATGCGCCACATAACTTTGTTCGTGCACGCCGTGAAACAGATACGACATAGCGCCTACAATCAAAAGCATTAAGAGGGAAGAATATTTATATTAACACATTAGATATTGGTAAATAGTGCCCACTTACCACGCGCATGTATAGTCACATCGGAACCGCCGTGTAGATTCTCATTCGTATTGATGGCCGCCTGCTGCGTGTATTCCCAATCTCTCGTGTCGCTGAACGATGGGTCCTTTCGCATCATGCGCTCCGGATCCACCTGAAAACCTTGGTAACTGGTACCGTATGTGAGCGTTGTATAGGGTGTATCTTCTGTCTTTGAATTGCCAGCTAGTCCCAAGATATCAGCGCCTCGGTCGGGATGCCCATTGATGGTCAAGCTGTGCGAATGATCGGCTGTCACGATTAGCAGCGTCTCGTCCAGCTGATCCCTATGGCAGTCTCCAAAATGTTAGTCAATGCTTAACCTGCTTTTCCGAATTTCACACTCACTTTGCTTTGAGATGCGCCTGCACCGCTTGCACGGCTTCGTTTAGGGCCAGGACTTCGCTCAGAGCCTTGCGCGCATTTCCACGATGATGCGCCTGATCTATCATGCCGGCCTCCACAATAAGCAGATATCCCTTATCACTGTTGCCCAGCACCTCGAGCGCCTTGAGTGTCATATTCGTCAAGGATGGCATGCCCGCATCGCTGCCATCCCGTTCGTGATCGTACTTGAGATGTCCGTTGGCAAAGATGCCAAGCACATAGTCCACGTTGGCTGCATCCAATTGTTGCAGCTGGCCATTGTTTTGGATCACCGCATGCGACTGGCCCTGATCGGCTTTCTGCTGTGCCCAATCTTGTATGAGATTGCGTCCATCTGTTGAGTGGCCCGCCCACGTGTCTAGCGGATCACTGTCTGTGCCGCTCACATTCGAGACGAGCATTTGGCGGCCGCCACCCATGATAACCTATGCTTCGATGGAGAACTTCAATTAGTAAAACTCATAAGGATAATCATCTTCCAAGACAATCGGCTACTCACATTGATCTGCTGTCCCGTTTTCTGCTTCACCAGCTGGCGTGCGATGTCCAAGCAGCCCTGTTGCTGCGCCTCCGCGGGCATCGTGGACTCAGATTCCCAGCGACGATCTGCCACATGGGCGTACAGAGCAGCGGGCGTGGCATGCGTGACACGTGTCGTCGTCACGAAGCCTGTGCGCATGCCATCCGCTTGGGCCCAGTGGAGTATGTTCTGGACATGATGCGCCTCCTGCAGCGAGGCACTGCAATTGCCCAACGGCACCGTGGCATCGACGCCGCCCGTCTCATAGTTGACCTTGACGCCGCCAAAGAGAGCGGTGGCCGTGGAGAAGGAGTCGGGCACCTGCTTATTTGCACAATAGGTCTTCAGCAGACCCATGTGCGGGAAGCGCTCCCAGCTGAGCAGGCCCTCCTCTTTGTAGCCATAGATCCGCGCCGCTGTCACCGTATTCGGACCCATGCCATCGCCCACAAAGAGTATCACATTCTTGGCTCGCCGTCGATTCAGCTCACGATTGAGGGCGAGCTTCAGCTCATTGATGCCACGATCGTACCACTCCTGCTGCTCCTTCGGTAGGTTCACATGCCAATAGGAGACCGTTTCCATGTCGCTAATATCGCCAGAGAACTCGTAATGGACCAGAAAGCCAATGCACATGGCAATCATTAGCACCGAGGAGAAGCTAACGGCTATGATGAACACTTTGGATTTGAATACATTCTTTTGCTGTTGGCGCTGGAGCTGCTGTTGCTCCGGCAGCGTTTTGGTCCTGGGTGTGCCGCCATTCGAATTGGCGAAATTGTGACTTGAGTCGAGGCTGTCCAGCTGCACCTCAATCAGGCCCACATCGCCCAGCTTGGTGCTGTCGGTGCCCGTGGATGACATCTCAAGTGCTATCGTATCTGTATCTGTATCAGAATCTCTGTTGACTCACGTCTGGGGCGGATTGGAACGTTGTCTTAGGTTTTATGCGGCCTGTAAATGTGAGATATATGACAGCGACCACACACACTCTCAAGAGCCCAACCAGATAACATTAATAAGACGAGATAAATTTTCCGGTCCCCTTGCGTACCGTTTCTAGCCCACTTACAGCGACGCCTGCTAAATGCCCAAATAGATTACGCTTAGCTAGAACTGCGACTCGTCTAACAAGCGCACCTCCACGTCACGGGCCCCCAATTAATGAATAGACAGCAAATTCCCCGTTGCCCACTTGAAAACCCGTACACGGCTCCTGCCTCCCACCTCCTCGCCGGAGGGTTTCCGATGAGGGCGTTAAGTGCCCGTTGAGCAGCCGTGGGCCGTGTGCTATCCGCGTCTGTCTTGCCATATTGGCAGACATATTCTTTTTTTTTCGTAATATTGACTCGAGGCAGGCCCTAGCTAAAAGACGGGTATATGCACTATCTGCTAAGCTTTGTATACATACCCATATATAACTATGCATTTTGATTTCAATATCATGCCATTATCTACAAATTTATTATATACACATATATATAAAATTATATATAGTTACTTTCCATATATATATATACTATATATATGTATGCCCTATTTTATACTGCTATTTTCCGTTTAACATTATTTCATGTATATTATAAAAACCTTTCAGATATCAACTATATTTCATAGTACTTGTTCAAATATATATAAAATTACTAGATCTTCCATTTTGTATACTTGAATGTATCTATTATATATTGTGTTTCCATGATGATCCTACAAGTCTAGATCTTTTCCCATGACATGAGTTTCAGATATCAGACATAACTTTACTTATATACAGCTCGAATATACTCTTTTCTCATTGTGTATTTCTGTCTTAAGAAATTTGATATATTTTACGCAAAACTGTTCCGTGTAAACAAACAATAAAGGGAAAAACTTGAAATGAAAATTAGAAGTTTACTTAGCAATTAGACTTTGACGAGCTACATACTAATTGATTTTCCTTCCTTTCTCTAATAGGGTATCTCTGAGTGCTGTGACGCACGCAGCCAACTCTCAAGTACCTACCGAATCTGAAATAAAAATAGAAACATATTTATGCCAGTTCTATACTTTTTTACAGCTCCATCAACTGATTACCTCATCAAAAGTAAATCCTCTGCAGACCTGTTTGGGTGGATAGCTCTGATTTCAAACAACTTTTGAATACCCTATGCGAACTATCTGAACAGTTGTTGTCGAATCTTGGGAGCACATCATAATTACCAAAGCTTTAGCACCCCGATAAGACTGATTGCTATTTATGACCACTTCAAACTGCCCAGAAATATGTGATGAAATACATATGTATATACTGGAATGTATGTATGTATTTATACATATAGTATCTGGCTGATAGGATAATTTGATTCTTATCAATGGCCACAGATTTGTCACGAAGCAAATAACTTAAAAAAGTGAAAACATGAGACAATCGCAATATTTCGATTGGGTCTGACGCAAATCGGACTTGACTTTGTGATAGGATAGGATTGGATTGGAACAAGTATAGCAAGTGGCACCGATAGCTGAATAGATGTTATTATACGAAATAATTGATAGCTAAGATAGATGAATAAAATAATTATACTAGATGAGCACGAGTTTCTATTTACTACTATTTTCATTAACACAGCTGGAGATAAGTAGCCATACTCTATGATAGATGGACGAATAAAGATTGAAAAGCGAGATGGAAAATATTCTAGTTGACAGTGTATGATTATATTGTCAAGATAATCGAAAGATGGTTTTAAGCAATAAGACTCTGTGCTATAATACGCCCTGCATCTCAGATATTCGAATACTCAGTGGATAGATAATACACAGATTACTTTGTTATAGATGAATCGTATGCCTCTATGACAGAGAATTGAACGATAAGCAACACAGCTATATAGCTGCACAGATTTCATCATAATTGCAAATATTATAAAAGCTTTTTATAATACTTTGATGGAATACTTTAGCTGATATGCATAAGCATTAGCATAGATCATCAATAAAAGTGGATTTACAATGAAGCTAGCGAGGCATAAAAACTTAAGGTCAATTCGTGGAAGAGCAAGAAACAAAATACTAACGCTGCTTACAAAACAGATATGAAATAATCTAAATTAAGTACAGTTTATAAAGCAATAAAATAGTATATATGTATGTATATGTATGTGTATATAATACTAGATATCATATGCAGGTAAAGGAACGTAATTCTAAACGGTTTTTACTGTGGAAATCTAATGGGGAGTGAATACTAAGAAATGGAGACTATTACGCCTAGCTAACGGTAAACAAATAAATTGTTTCCATTAATTTGAAACTAATTGTACTATGGGAGGGGCCAGCATGCATATATAAACATACATATGTATGTTTGTATTTATATAGAAAGATGTACTATTATTAACTGAGCACAACTAATTGATTTATAACAAAAACGAGAGAACAAACGAACAACAAGACGAGAGCAGGATGAGAGCCTCTTCTGCCAAACCCTCGCCTCTGCCTACCCATCTCTCCATCTCGCTCCCTCCCATTGCCCATCAGCTAAAGCCTGCTCAAAATAATGGCAAAAATTTATAATTTGGGACATATAATTAAGCAATAGTTCCGCTATATGTGTATTGTACTTACTTGACATAAGGCACTTGCATATATATTTAAATGTATATGAATATATATTGTTTTTTAAACACTATATATTGTTACAACAATTTGTAAAGTTTGTTTTGGGCCAAACAGTTACACTCTATAAATGTGCATTTAATAACAGTTAAAAAAAATACCAATTTCATTTAGCTTTCGAAATATTTCGATTTGTTTAACACAAAAAAATAAACAAAAGCGCGTACTAACAAATTCTCGTCCGCTCACAGCAAAAGTTTTTGCCGTTTTGCAGGTCGAAATAAACGGTGTGAAAACAAGAAAACTATGTAGCTGTAAACGCAACACACCGAAACGCATTTACCCTAACCGAAGACAAATTTGAGCGCCGAAACGAAGTTCTTGCGATTTGATGCCTATGCTGATGATAAGCTGATTGTACGTTTGGCTCTTAGCACTAATTATAATAAATCAGGGTAGTGATGCTACACATTTTGGTGTTTTGCACAAACATGATGCTGTAGTTGATAAGCTTCCACAGTTTCTTTCAAGAACTATAGCAACAACAGCAACAATAGAAATAACAAAACATCTGCTGAATGGGTGAGAGTAGTAGAGTGTGAGAGAAAGAGAGAGAAAGTGTCCAGAGCATGCGCTCGCTGCGATTACAATTTGTCAACAGCTGTAATGCAGCTGCTATCGATATGGCTTGAGGCTTACACCTATTATCGATATATAGTAGGCCAGCAACGCAATACATCGCGCGCGCTGTTCAGAATTTAAAATGAAATTCAAATCAAATTGATGTGGCTACTGCTGTTGTGTGCTTTTTTTTTATATAGTAGGCGTGCTGTAAGTCGTTTTAGTCGAATGTGTGTGAGAATAGGCTCAGTATTGGGCGTGTTACACAATCAGTCAGTCGCACGAAACAAAAATATTTTGCTTCACAAATATATTTTATATATACACAAGTGAAAAAGTCTATTGAACAGGATTATACAAAATAAAAATTATTCAAGATGTTGCGCATACCAGGCATGCCCCTCCTACCAGGGACCCTCTTTCGCGAAGTGAGTAACATATAAATATGGTTTCTTAATCAACAAATTTACGGTTTTCCGCTCTTTGCTTGATTAGGTTAGTAAAGTGTATTATCCCAAATCACAAACGTTGCTCAACTTTCGTGGTATACCGATGCTCAGCGATCGGCAGCAGTCGATGCCCGTGGATCCCGCCGGTGTTGTAGTCGACATTAGCTGCCCGCCAGCCAATGCTCATGCCTTATATCCCCCACGAACGGGACCACATCTACCACCATGGCTGGCATATGATAAGAAGGTGCTTAGTTTTAAAGCCTATTTTAAGCAGACACTGCAGGAAAATTTCCATGCCCCCTATATGGTTAGACATGTGAAAATCTATTACTATCTGGAAGATGGCACTATAGATATTCACGAGCCAAAGGTAAAAAATTCAGGCATTGTGCAAGGATGTATGCTGCATCGTCAGCGGGTGCCGAAGCCGCCGCCATGTGAAAACGAATTTCTAGCGATTACCGATCTCAATGTGGACACGACGGTGCAGATCTTTGATCGATTCTATCACATCTATGACTGCGATCCGTTCACACGTAGTTTTCTCAATAAACGGGGCATTGTGGTGCCCGATCCGGTCATGGCAGCCGTGTAAGTTTAGCTAATCTACCTTTATATATATATATCTATTTATGATTATTTAAAATATTCTAGTGATCCTTCTGAGGCGGTTCGCAACCGTATCCCGGCACGTGCCTGCAATCCGCCGGAGAAGAAGCATCCGTTTGCCCAGTTCCTCAAGTATGATCGCCAGGTACTCAAATTTCAAGCCTATTGGGACGATCGCACTGATATGGGCGATGTGCGTAAGCTGGAGGTCTGCTACTACCTGGCCGACGATACCATCGAGGTGAAGGAGGCTCACATACGGAACTCGGGACGCGATGGCCCGTCCGTATTTCTCAAGCGCGGAAAATTGCAACGAGTAAGCATTAAAGATCATTCGATGGATTTACGAGATCAATAATTTGGTTCTTCCACAGGAATTTGATGGCCTACAGCTGCCTGGCCAACAGACAGCGCAAACCCTGCTAAATGTACTTGGAACGAATCGAAATGTTCGCTACTGTATTGATCCGCTCAATATTGGTAACAAGGAGATTCTCTATTACAATCAGCGCGATCTGCAGATCGGCACCGTGCTCAACATTTACGGCCGCTCCGTGGTTATAACGGACATGGATCCCTTTACCAGGCAGTACTATCGTGATAACTATGGCATTGAGCAGTTTACACCGCTGGCAATGCCGACGCGATCGGATGTGTGCCAGCCGTATGACAAGTCCGGACGTATGCTGCCCCCGTACAATGGCTGGGGCACTTACGAGGACTCGGCAGGCAATTGCATGTCGATTGTGATTAAGAGACCGAAGACTGATTTCAGGAAATTTGTCAAATTCGATCGTTACGTACTTCGGTTCGGCGCAAAGATGCTGTCAACCATACGAGAGAACTGCGAACGGATTTTTGTGATCAGCTACTATATGAGCGATGATACGATGCAAGTGCAGGAGGTGGCTGTACGGAATTCCGGTTTCCTTGGCGGCGTCTTCATGAAACGTACCCGAGTTCTGATGCCCGGCCAGGAGAAGTTCACGTGCAAACAGCCCCAGTACTATAGGCCGTGCAATCTCTTCATAGGTGGCACAATGTCCATTAAGGATTTCCTCTTCCATCTGGTCTCGGCAGATGAGTTCACATTGATGTATATGGAGCATCATCCGGACCAGTTTACGCATTGCAATCTAGACCTGATCTTGGAGAAGGTGCGCAAGTCCCTGGAGCCGCGTATGCCACAGTTTGTCTCCAGCTGTGTGACCGACTGTCAAGATTTGGAAAAGAAACTGGAGAAGCGCACAGTGTTCATCTCGTTTGAAAGTCTCAAGGGCGCCCTGATTGCTCTGATGGGCAATCAAATCAGCGATCATGAGATCGTCACACTGTGTCGTCGCTTTTCTGGCGAGCAGGCGGCGCCGAACGTCTGCGAACGGGAGAAGGTTCGTGCCTCGGCCCATTTAGAGATCAAGCGTGCGTTATGGAATGGAAGAGATGAGCTGATGGAGCATTTCCATCACATCAATCCAACCAATAAGCCATTCCTGTCCGAGAGTCTGATACGATCGACGTTGCGTGGCTTCCGTATGCCGTTTACGCTGGAACTGATCGATACGATATTGTCGGTGCTCAATCGCAATGATTGCGATGACATTGAGGTTTGCGATCTGATGAACTTCCTCGATGTTTCCTGCACCAAGGGCTGCGATATAGCGCCCATCAACTACGCCTTCGAGCTGTGCCCCAAGCTGCCCTTCCAAAACAAAGGACGTGTCGTGGACTTTGGCTGTCTACTCAAAGCCCTCAACCTGCCGCTCAATCTCCCCGCCACCAACACCCAGCCGACCAAAATGATAGGCGATACTCGCATTCTGCCGCCGTCGGGAGATGAAGAATGTTCAACAGCAAAATAGTTAGTCAATCACTAATACATAATACCCGGTCCCATCTGGTTCATCGACAGACAAAGGTGGGAACAGCTACACAGATCACCGAGACCATTAATACCAAATACCCGATCATAAACAGACTGTTGATACACCTACACAGATCGTTGATCTTCAATACCATGTCCCCGATCCTCCGATCGGGGATCGGAAGTGAATGATGTTATTGTCACCCAATTTTCAATTGTTGTCTAGTGTTTCTGTTTACATCTGCCTGTTCCTCACATAGGATACATCGAAATTTCTTGTACAATATGCAATCGGCTTAGCGTACAATACGTACAATTCTGGACCAAATCAAGCCCTCGCGCACACATGTGTATATATTTATATATATATATAAACGTATATATATATAAGTATTTTAGATACTAAAGCAAAAATATGTACAAAAAAATAAATACAATCCTATAGGAATAAATTATTTGGCGTGTGTTGTTTTTATGTAACAATCTTGAATCTTTATGAATTTGTATGCCAGTTGACCATCAGGGACTGAGCAGGACTCCAAGAACTTTAGGAACACCAAGATAGATAATAGTAGATCAGATCTAAAGGGGGGAAAAGAAATACAGCAAAAAATTTACCGAATCTACACATTTTCATACATTTTCATAAGTCTCTATTTATTAGATTTCTTCAAAATAGCATATTGTTGATTTTTTTTTTTTGCAAAAAAAACTAGTTTTTTGCATTTTTTGTTTTTAGTTAAATAATAACTTATTTTAAGGAAATTTTTTCGCATATCAAGGGGGAGTTTTCCATTCCATTTTTTTGCGTAGCATCAAGTGATTTAGTCAAAAAATGCAGCTAGTAAATTTTTTTTTTTTTTTGTTTAGGCATATTTTCTTTATAACTTTATTACTTTTAACATTTTGTTGCTTAATAAATTTTTGAAAAAAATTTGCGAGTTATATTTGTTGTTATTTCTTGCATTGCCATAAAAATGTTTATATATATATATATATATATTTTTATCGAAAGCCAAATTTGAGTTTATAAAAAGTTGTTTAAATTAAAATAACAAAAATTGGTCGCATGTGTATAAAGTTTATGTTTTGTATCGTTTATGCATTTCTTTTAACTTTTTTTCTTGCTGTTAATTGCGATTTGCTTAAGTACTGCACTTAAAATTAATTAAACATGTAAAACAGATTATATTTATATATGTTTAAAGAGAGAAAAAATATATTGAATTGGGCATATCGAAAAGTGTGAAATATAATTTTATACCGTGAGATGGGCTAGACTAAAGGATATCAGTAAAAAATATATTTATAGAATTGAAATATTAATAGTAAAAAAAAAAAAAAATGTACACTACAAATTGAAAGCCGAAGAAAAATTAGTTATTCATATTGTTGTTGTTGTAGCTGCTGCAGTTTGTTGCTGTTGTTGTTGTTTGGGATTTCGGACAGGGAAATGCTGATCAGCGCCACTATTATCTATATCTATATATATATATAGCATATAGCATATAAGATGTATTGTATATGTGCAATTGAATTTTAATTTGAATTTTCTGCTTTTTTGTTACAAATGGGTATATAGGATAATGCAAATGTAATTACAATCGAAATATAGCGAAGTCGTGAGATAGGGCGATTCATTCCCGAAAGAACTTGGCTGATCGAATGCAGTGCATCCATCAAGCTAACTTATGACTCGCTACTTGGCCTATATAGTCATTAGCAAGTCGACACTCGCAATCCGTTTGGCAGCTAATCTTTGCCTCGACATTTCTTGTTGTTTTGCAATGCATCACCCGCCGCATGTAACTTACGCTACTCGCCTCACGCTTCACGATACCTGGTTTCCGCTTTTCTCTTGCCACTACTTCCTGCCACTCACTACTGTGCTTGCTTTGATTCTAGTCCTAGTCATTATATTTCCTCAATTTCTATTTGTTTCCATTCCTTCTAAACCATGTTCTATTACAAAATTTGGCTATTCCCTTGTCCACAAACTGATTGGTTGGTGCTGCCTGCTTAGATCTCATCAATGTCTATTTCATCGCCATCCTCATCCTCCATGGCGTTCTTCTTGTTAACAGCAGCAACGGCAGCGCTGACCGCTGCCACCTTCAAGGGCTCGACACGGGCACGATCATCATACTCGATTTCGACATCCGAATCACCGCAAGCATTATCATCGTCATCCGATGAGGAGTCCTCCTCCTCGGCATCCTTCAGCCATTGGACAAACGGTTCAACTCTTTGGTGTATCTCGGTGGCTATCTTCTTCGAAACATGACGCTTGCTGACCTTCTGGGCCCATTCAAGAATCACCTTCTCGTCCAGGATGTCCAAATCGTAGAAGATCTTGAAGATTCCAGCCACCTTGTTCATCAACGTGTCCGCATGCAATTCAACAGTCTGCTCGATGCCGCCGATCAGATAGCGTTGGCCCTTCGGATTGTTGTGGGTGAACCGCAGCAGGAGAATCCGATTTTTTCTCACATCGTGCGTGATATTCTCAGTGAAGAGCAGCTCGGCCAGCACTAGCGGTGCCTTGTTCACAATATCCAAGCGCTCGGCCTCAATCAGCAGCTCCTTATGCGTGGCCACATCATCCAGTTGCTTCGAATCCCGCTTGTTCTTTACCAGCTCGTAGAAAATATCGATGCGCTCCTTCTCCGTCTTGTCGTAGTCATCCGAAATGGTCATACCCTTGGCACCATCTGTCAGATCCTGCAACCGTGCGCGTATCGCCTCCTGTAAAAGATAATGAATTGAATAAGTCCCATTGAATAAGTCGTGAGTTTAAAATCGCAGTAAACGGATGCGGAATGAATGTAAACATATGTTTGCTGTTATTATTCTGTTAATCGCAGTGCTTATCGTTAACAGAGTCTTAACATGTGATAACATAACATCTGCTATTATTTGCAATCTCTTTTTTTGTACAGCCATTTAACAGAGTTGCAGTTCTGGCTGGATCTTCACTTGCATTTCGTAGCTCACCTTGGAAACATCAACGCTCCAGCCACCATCATCGTCATCCTCGGCCATGGTCTTCTCCGGTATGGCAGCGCTAATCTCGGCTTCCGTTTGGCTGGCATGGTTGGTGCCGTTGCCACCATCGGATTCGCCGCCAGAATTGTTGGCCATGGAATTGTTAGACATCGAACCATCAGAGTTTTCATTCTTTTGCTTCTGAACACGCTTCGAGCGTTTGCCCTCCGTTAGTGATGAGCCCTGGGCAGCTGGATTCAACGATGGCGGATTCTTCACAATGTACGTATTCACCTTGTGGTTCACCTTCAGTAGGCCATGGAAGCCACAGGCCTTACACGACTGCGAGATGGTCTGATTCTTGGCCGAGACAGTTAGATTTGTCTCCGGGTTATCGCACTCGGGACAGAGCACAAATTTGCGAATAAAACCATCGAGCAAATCCTGCAGCTTGTTCACATCATGCGATCCATTCACAATGAAACGTTCGTTCTACGAAATTGATTAAATAAATATATTAGAGTTGTGTACAGATAGAATCGACAGGTTTCTAATAGTTACAGTTTCAGCTCTATCTATATTATCACCTACCTTATGATCGAATTGCGTTTGGGCGCCCAGCTCACAGCCAAAGTACTTGGTCGGATAGGTAGCTGGTCTCCCGATCGCTCTTGCCACCTCGGCCATGTTGACGAGGACCGTTTTAATGCCGTTGCCCTTACCTTCCACTTTGGCCTGGAGGCGTGGCATTTTGTAGCGATAGAAGATATCCGTAACACTGCGATTCACATTGACGGTCGCCATCTTGAAGCTCCGAAGTATCGATCGGTTTGAAGTGAATGATTGATTAACTGACTCTTGACTGATTCAAGTATTGTTGCTTCTGATCTAATATCAATTAGATCCAGATACCGATTGCTGGCTGTTTGTAGCGGTGCGTGTTTATGTGTGTGTGTGTGTGTAAGTGTGTGTGTGTAAGTGTGTGTGTAGTGCTGGCAGCTTTTCTCGGGGGTACGGGGATCAGATCTGATCGGGATCTTATCGGATCGGCTAATTCCAATTGTCTATGGTGGTTTGTGCGGCTGGCAGCACCAACTTCTTGATCTCAGCTATTTTGGCTATTTTGCAATTGCTTCGTTGCGCCTCGTTCCCGTTCATTAAATTTGCTTTTGGCTTAACCTGTGCTCTAATCGCGCTGACCTCTAGAATCTCTCTCTCTCTCTCTCTCTCTCGCTCTCTCTCTGTTTCTTACTCACGCTAGCCGATTCGCTCGCTGGCTCTCTGGCAGGTGTGCTTGCTTGTGGAGAGTCTAGTTAATAGCAATCCTCGTCGTCCACGATCATCCAAAAAGAACAAAATTAAGATTGGGCTTCCCAAGTTTCGATCAATGCTGGGTTGCGGAACCTATACTTGCTTTATCATCTAGTTATCTGATGCTATCTTCAGTTGCTTCTATTTCCTTTCTAGTTTTTATCTTTTTTTTTTATTTATTTTTTTTTTGGTTTTTGTGGTTCCTTCTGCCGTCTCCTCTTCCCCTTCCTTTCGATTTGTAGTGCAGGCTTTACTGTAGTAGTAGTATTTATATGCTCTCTATATATCTGGCATAGTCTTAGCTATTGGTGTTTTTTTTTTTTTTGTTTTTTAAGTTTTTAATTTTTTTTTTTTGTTTTTTATGTTTTGTTGTATGTTTAGTAAAAAACTATTGGAACGGTACAATGGTTGGCTCACGTGTACCTGAACGGCTGTAACTTCCGATGCCTATTACTTGAAGTCCTATAAGTGGGCGAATGAATAAGAATTTCATCATTAATCGAATATAAAAATCTATACGTTTTCGGTATATCGATCGTTCTCAAAATATGTTTTTCATATATTATTGATTTGTATACTTAACTAACTAACTATTGTTAGTTAACATTTGTATTTAGAAGTTGTACATGTGGTTAACAGCTGTTAGTTCTTAACTGTAATATGCTTGGCCGTTTCAGTTTAAGATTGAATGGTCAATATTGATTTTTTCATTACTATACAGAAATATGGCTGATGTTAACCAACTGTCATCAGCAGCTCAAATTATAGAGAATATATAAAAATATAATTTATGCTAATTTGAGGGCACAAATGCGTGCTAAAGACTTCAAATGCCAAAAGACTTATAATCGATAACGGCAACAGCTGTGCTCTTTCGACCTATTTCACAGAAAGACCCTGAATCTGGTATCTGTTGCATAATTTTAGGGTATATACTAGCTATGGTAGAGCTAGCGTAACACTTACCGATGACTTATGGTTCGCCTCTTTGAATTCATGCACAGTTCGAAGCTTTTACTCCGTTTTTGTGGAATTGGAGGTGCGCCTTTTTTTGCTGGTGTTTCTGTAAGAAAATATTTGATGTTAAAAGGGTTTTTTGACTTTGGATAGATCGGATGTATCTATATATGTATATATACAAATATCTGTATAGTAATTGAGCCCTAGCTTACCACCATGGGTATAGAGTTAGTCCAGCTTTCGGAACGTTTCATAGCAAGTGAACATTGGGAACCAACTTTCGACACAGTAAGGATATCTCAAATAGGATATACGATATACGTTTTCTTTTTCGAGGAATTGAATCTTCGGACTAGATCTTTAGCTTGATGCGTGTGTGTGTGTGTGTGTGTGTGTGTGTGATGACTATTGTGTAGAAAGTTTCGTATGTATATATATAAATGTTTTTATATATATGTACGGTATTGATTTAGAGCGGTTGGATGGGGCCAGAACGATCGATTGGGGTTGCTGGCTCTTACGCCTTCCTTTTTAGTGCCGCCTCATCGAAAGCATATAATATGAGCTGCTAGCATTGGCTCTCTCCCTTCTTTTTACACGGAGTAATTTCGAACCAAAGCTCAACCAAAATTTAGACCACATCAAAAATACTTGAATGCAACTTCGCTTCGCAATGCAATGATTTCACTGTGGCTCTCTGTGTATGTGTGTGTGACTGTGTGAGTGTGCGAGTGGAGTGTGAGTGCGTGTTAAAATATATATACATATATAAGAATATACATATATATATATTTTAAACTAGATTTATATCTATATATATATGTATATATATATTTGTTATATATATAGATATATATATATTCAGCGGATCGTTATCTTGAGTTCACGTCCAGTTCGAACTGCATTTGCATTTGCATTTCTTATTCATCAACAGGCAGGATAGACAGAGGAGAGGAGTAAATGCCCGTCACTGCAAATTTTAGATTTTTACTGAGAATTTCGCAGGTTATATATCGAACAATTTCAAATTTGAATGCCTTGTGGCAAGTGTTTTACTAGAGTTTGTTGTCGTCTAACTGACAGCAAACTCAATGAAAACAATGAAAAATTTTAAAGCTTCATATTTCTATAAAACCCCACACAAATTATTGATATATGATCGATGTCGAAGCAAAAGTTATCAACTCAAATTTGTATATACTATATACAATACAAATTACTTCTTTTCACAGAGTTCGCATTGCGAAATACTAACTCTGAGCGATTTTCTTAAAGATATTTTTCAATCAGCTGAAGAGTTACATTACGAGTTGGCACGCAATGTTAACGCTTATTCAATGGGAATTATCGTTCCACACGTAAGAGCTTACACAATAAGATCATTTCATAAAGTCCTTCAGGATGGTTCGCAAATACGAGAAACCATTGCACACTACAACTGTACTTTCATTCCATGGGAATTTCCACTCATTGACTTAAGAGCGGAACTTAACAGAGGAGCTGCTGGCCAACTATTTCGTAGCTAAAAACGAAAATCAAATACACCACATAAGCATGTGGTGTGGTGGCTGGCGCTCTGTGGTGTATTATTGCATCTTCCTGAGTGTCTCTCTGTCTGCATGTGTGTGCGTGTGTGTGTGTATGTGTGTTCAACTAACTAACAACTCACCGCTGAGGTCATAGGTAATGGCCACAGTATGTCGCTGGATGGTTAAATCGCACAGCATATGATGCAGCTCGCTTTTATGATTGGTTGTTACGAGCAGTAGCTGAACGAGTGCCGCAAGGAATTGCAATGCCAATGGCAATCGTAACGGCAATGGCAAAGGCAACGACGACGACGACGGCGACGGCGACGAGGACGATGATGACCACGACGAAGACGACGGCGACGGCGACGACGTCAACAGCGTCAACGACAGTTTCTTTTGCTTCGGCGGCGTCAGGTTGATGACGTTTAACCAGTTGGCAGTTGTTGTTGTTGTTGGTATTGTTATGATTATTATTATTATTATTATAAGTGTTGTTGTTGTTGTTGTTAGCAGCACAGCGTTGACTAACAGGATCTGCTGATACTTCTGCTGCTGATGCTGTTTATTATGCTTTTTCTTTGTGTTAACAGTGCGCTGGCTGTTAATGTTGCAGTCACTGTTACGTTTACCGTTGTTGGCTGTTATCTTTAACGTTTCGCTGTTTATGTGAGATTTGAATATGTTATCGTTATCGTTACCATATATCGATCAAAGGAGCGATAGCTTAACGCAAAATAACGACAAATGGCATATGCATTTACATATATATATATTTATGCATGTATATATGGGTGGGTGTTCTGCGTATGCGAGTTCACGGTTGGAGCTTTCGACCAAAAATCGATCAAAAATGATCAATTATATTGCTTTGCTCTTATTCTACAATTAAGATATGTTGTTATTGCTGCTACTTCTATATCGATATATTTGTTAATCATCGTGTTTAATCGACGGGCTTCTGCATAAGCTATGTGTGTTTGTTGTTTCGTTTTTCTGTGCTCTTCTGCTGCCTTCTTGGACCAATTTAATGTGTGTGACATTTGAAAACTACATATACACATAAATTCATGTATATAGATATACTTATATATACCTATGCACCCCTATGATAAAAGATGCTAGGCAATTGCATTGATTGCAAAATATCCGAAAACTCAGTGTGCAAAATAAAAACCCGAAATAAATAATTGAAATTTTCTACCGAAATTGCCAGACACATTTACATATACACATATGTGTCTGTTAGAGAGAGAGAGAGAGAGGGAGAGAATTATGTATGCATGTGTTTATTGTAGTTTAGCTTATCGTTTTATATAAAAAGCAGCAGCAACAAGAACTTCATTGCACATACACACGCACACGCACACACACACACACGCCTAATTTATATATACATATATATGAGGAAAAATCCAATAATTACAATGCCAATTGGCACGAAAATTGTGTCTGCGAATTTCTTTCTTGATTTTTTTGGGGCGTTTATATATATGTGCGTATATACATATCTGATTCACATATATAATTTATATATATATATATATATATATATAAATTGCTTACAACTTTTCGTTTGTTGTTGCACGCACTGCGTGGAAAATTTTTTCACGTAACGCGAACAATTCGAACAAGGGGAAAAGGAAAATGTCGGAAAAAAACTTGCGATGGGCTTAACGCTGACGAATAAACTAACTTGACTGACTGTTGACGGCGATGCTGAGAGCCCAAGTCCTGCCAGCGAGTACGTGTGTGTGTCGGGGATGGAACACACGGGACACGCACGGCACAGCATAGAGCAGCCCCAAAATGCGCATGTGCCATGGCCCTTTGCAGCAGCAGCAGCAGCAGCAATAACAACAACAAAACATATGTTTAGCAGAGGCAGCCAACCAAGCCCCAACACACCCTCGCCCAACCAATTCGCCTCCTGCTCCACTCGTAGAATGCAACTCTCAGTTCGGTTCTAGCATATGTTAGGCGCCAATTAAACGCCTTATTGCATGCAAAATTGTGCTTTTGCTTTTGTTTTCAGGTCAGCCGCAAAGTAGGCAACAAAAAGCCAATGGCAAAGCAGTGCAAAGTGCCAGCACTAAAAGGAACCACAACAACAGCAAGAAGAGGAGCAGGAGCAGCAGCAAGCAGCCGCAATACCAAAAGGAAGCACAACAACAGTTAAACTACAACTGCAGGTCACGCAATGCCAGCAGCAGAGAGTGAGCGGGAGAGGGAAGGCAACGCGGGCGAGAGCTGGGCACATGCACTAGCACACTTGACAACTGTTTGTTGTGCAAGCGAGAGCGCCTAGATGGACTCGGGCTGCAACTGGCAAACAGCTGAGAGCGAGCGAGAGACAAGGAGAGAGCGCAAAAGTGAATGGGCTGCACATTCGAACAGCTGAGTGTACGGGCAAGAGCGAGAGAGCAACTATTGTGGAAGCTGAGCGATTCTTGCATTGCAAATAAAGATTAAATGGAGATTGAACTTATCAATCGACAGGGAGTGTGCACACTCTGAATACCCTGTACGAGATACAGTATAGTATAGCTAGACACTTGTTTGTATACCTTACAATATGCATAATTGTCATTCCATTTGAATATTTTTATTATAGATATGTATATACTGAGCAGTTCAATTAAACGTAAAATTTGATGGGCTAAGCATAGTACATCTACAGGGTATATAAAATGCTCATTATATTTATGCACTTAAATAACCATGAAATTGCTTTTTTATACTATTTTTTAGAATCGCATGACAAATGCAATTTAAGCGATAAAAACTTATGTACAATATATACATGTACATATAATCCATATCCCATATATGTATATTTATATATATCATGGTGTCACGTCTAGTGTTTGCCGTGATTGAAAAGAGAAAACTTTCGAGTTTTCATTTCACAGTTTATTATTAACCAACAGAATTTTCATGGCATTTTCAAAGAAGCAGAAAGAAGATGCAAGACAAGTGGCACAATTAGTTGTCGAGAAAATAAGAAATACAAAAAAACTTGCCATTGGATAACGTCAACAACTGTTGCATACAAAGAAATCTAAGCGCAGGCTGCGAATGTCGAGGAACATGGAGGTAACCAAGAGACGAATGAGAAATTCCGCAACAACAAAATAAAAAAAAAAAAAATGAATAAAAAAAAATTTAAATGTCGAACGCATTAAACAATGAAAACTCACACTCACACCCACGAACCCACTTGTGTTTCTGAAAAGATCTATATATAGATGAAGAGAAAGAACTTAAACTCAATATAATATAATTCATTTATAGAGGCAGAAGCTATAAAGAGCTCTTTATTTATATTTTAAGCAGTTCAAATGAACCATAGACTTATTGAGAATATTACTTTGTATATAGTACTGCACTATATAGTATATATTTTAAAATCTCGAATATGCTTCCTTATATATCAGAGGAGGAGGAGAATACAGTTCTAAACCCCACAATATAGAGCATCAAGATCCAGTTTACAAGTCACAGGAAACATATATATATTAAATATATAATCTTTTTGCAAAATTACAAACTTTATAAGCTAAAATGCGAGCTTGAGCTCGGCTCAAGTAGAAAAAATATTTGTCTAAGCCAAGTCTCCATTCAATATGAGTTTTCACTGTATTTTGGGAACATGCAAAGCTTAGTTTGTTGCCTCAGTTAGCTGCATAAAGATACTAAACTGCGACCTAGAGCAAGCCGATCCAAAATACCCTATAATGGTCACTCTACGCGCGGGGCAGTTCAATCGACCACGACCAATGCCAAAAACTGGTTTCTCACTTTTATCATCAGCATTGTTTTGCTCTTGTTTGCTGGCTGCTTGCAAAGTGCCAAACAAGAAACAAACAAAAGAAAAATAGAGAGCAACAACAAAATTGAACAAAGGAATTAAAATCAAGTTCGATTTGCTGTGTAACGTGAGAGATATCCTAGAATACAGTTGGGCTTATGCAAAAAAACAAAGTAGAGTGCAGCAAGTGGGCTATGAACGACTAACAAACAGTAATTTTGATCTAAATTTAATACGTGAATCAAATCCGATCATATATAACCAGTTATCAAATAGACTAGATATACTCCATTGCATCATTTTGTTGTTGTTTTCAATAAGTATTAAATAACCCAAAGAGTTGGCTTCCCAATGCAAATTGGTTAACAAAAAGCTGGCCATGCAGAGCAGGTGAGGAGGAGGAGGAGAACCAGAGAGACAGAGAGTCAACACAAAAACATGGCCATTTGATTGGAATTGATTGCGCATTGTCTTTTGGTTGCTATTAAAATTATAACAATTGCGGTTAGTTCCACTCTAAACAGACGTCTAACAGTGCGCTGTTAAATAACAGAGCAGCAGCAAAAATAAACTATGTAAATATATGTGCATACATATATACCAAGCAAGTGGATGAAGGAATGTAAGTGTGCATGTGTATAGGTATGCCTGCATGTGTGTGTGTGTGTATTAGTTGATCGGTTACGGCATGCGCACATTAAGCTTAACAGAGCACACACACACAGCCGAACATTCAGCAGATATGCCTATATGCATGTGTATATACGTACATATGTATATAAGAAAAAAAGTACACGTCGCTAGATAATGATGTTCATTTCGCTCATGATCTTGAATTGCGTAGGCGTAACGAAAGAAAACGCTGGAATGCTATTTTTCTTTCTCTCTTCTTTTTTGCTGGAAAATGTGCCACAAATTGCCAATTAAATAGGAAATTTGTAATAGAATTATAACAGTTGTTTTGTGTGTTTACAGGTAAGAATTCCATATAATATGAAATGAATCAAATTTAATTTGCTAGAAACTATTTATTTGTGTTTTTTCTAAAAATAGGACCATCTATATTCATATGTTCCATATATAAATTATGTGTTATATAAATACCAAAATATATTTTTGGTGTGGTATATAGAGAAAGAATTCTATGTATATAGAGTAATCAAATATACCTTAGTAACTATTTTCTAGCATCAAAACTAGTTCTGATTTTACCCATTCGCCTTAGGTAGTCTTCATCGTATAACATATTATATTTTATTATAAGATTATTTACAGTATAGGCTCTGTGCCATAGCTAGATTTATAAAGTCCACTCTATTAAGCTTTCACGGTATATCTGTTAAGCCACAAATGTATGGCGGAATATCCTCATATTTATTGCACAATAAATGGGTATATAGGAATACTATCGTTTTGTAGGTGTTTGGTTCAAGGTCGAAAACGTTTCTGGCTGCAGTGGAAAGTTTATTCGACTCCAATGTGCTAGCTTCTATTGAATCTATTAAGCTTTCCCCGTATACTCAATATCCAATTAAGAGTTGTGGAAAAATTATAATGGGAATTTCTGGATAATAGCTGTTTGTACAGATACATATACATAAATATATAGAGACATCTCGTGTTCTGGGGTTTACAATTGAGAGGTACTTACCACTTAATCTTTCAAAAGTCATATAAGATATTATGTTTCCCCTGCTTGGGGTGCGCAATGCAATCTCACGAATTAGATAAGGAAGTGTATGAAGAATCTCTTCTCTCCCCTCAACTGACGTCTCAAATTCTCAACGTTTCGATCTGGTGTTCTCTTTTTCTTTCGCTCTCACTCTCTATATGTGTTTGTCTTGCTTACACACACAGATGTTTTTGCACGGGTTTGTTTTGATTCAGTAGATATATATATGTATTTATGTATATATATAAATATATATAGATGAAGGTATTTATATGTTGGTTAACCGTAACTGATTAGTACAACTTTTTTGTTTTTGCTTTTCGCTCTTCTTTTTGCCACGTGAGAATTTTTGCGCAACTGTAAAAATTGCTTTGCGATCTTTTTTTTTGCGATGGCCGCTGGCAGCGCTAAACCACGCGAATTGCTTTTTGGTCAATTGTTGTTGTTGCTGTTTGCTTGTGCAGCTGCTGCAAAAAGTCTGTAATGAAATGAAATGAAAGATATATAAATACACATGTACATATGTGTTGCACATTTGTTTACAATCGCAAATAGTTTCCCTTTGAATATTGACTAACGTTCGAACAATATGCTAAATGTTAATTGCGCATATTGCCCAACAGAGGGAGACAGTCTCCACTCCTCCCTACCAGCTGTTAACTCAATGTTTTACAGTGTGCGTACGTGTGCGTGGATGTCTATTATGTGTGTGTTGCGATCATTTCTTGTTGTTGTTTTGCGAACAGCGAAATGAAACGAAACGTGCGCAGTACACTACACATATTGAGAAAAAAACCTTTGGGATATTCCTCTGCTAAATAGTACTACTATTCGCTTGCAAAATCACGCATACAAACAAGAATTTCATGTGCGTTGCGATCGTTTACGAAATTATAATTTAACTGTTATCTTTTTGTCCACCATTCGCCCAGCCCCGTAAATAGTTAATATGTTGCTAAGACATATTATCGCCAACAATGCACGTAATTTTAATTTTTAGTGCATACACACACACACATACAAATATATAAATACACACACTATCATGCATATGCACAGTCACAATGAAAACAGCCACGCTATTTAAGCTTTTTTTGAGGTTGTGTATGCCATTCTGCATACATAATTTTACCTTTTTGTTTATAACACAATCTTATACGGATCTTCAATACAGCAATTGCATAGAACGTTGGCTTTTATATGCTAATGAATAATGCGATTTGCAACTGATTTTTCACGAAGGTACGACGACAAACTGCTGTGCACTAATAGCGATGTACAGAAAGTAACATAATATCGATAGATCAATTCAAAGACGTATGTGCGAAGACATCGCATATTGCGATGTGTAACGATTGGGGCTAACATCGAACGTGTATTTTCTAGTGAAATTTTTTGTTTTATAATATTCCGAAATTGCATAGAAACTATATTGAATTGAATTAGAGTGTGAATAAATCTTAATCTGTCTAAAGCTGAACTAAAGTGTCATAAAATGCTCGAAAAATATTTTAAATAGACTTAAGTCACTTGAGATCGATTGACGATTATGAAACACTAAAATTCAAAATTTAAATAAGAATATATCGATTGTCGTTTCGCAACAAGTTTCAATACATATTTGTATTTTGTTTGCAATTGTTTTCGGAGCAGTTTTTATTTTTATACAGTCAATGATTAATTGATGTAAGACTAACAGAAATAGTTGCTGAAGATGCTTTGCAGATAATTTGGCCGCGTTGCGAATGCAAAGTGTGACCGTGCTGATATTGACAGAAATAAATATATCTTAGGGTATAAATATTGCCCTGTATTCGCATGGGGCCTATAATAATTTCAATGATATGTGAAATAAAAATTACCTTGTGAATTGGATTGTCATTTGATTTGAAAAATGTTTATGGTAGCTTCCAATAAGAACTGCCATTTTGAGTAAAGTATCGATTGTTTAGCATATCGATAGATGCAGAACTGTGGCCGGCAGCGTGTTGTCATATGGCTTTTAAAATAACTAAATATTTGTGATTTTCGGCTGTGGTTCCATTAAATTGACGACATGCCTAAAGAACAGTTTCGCGCCTCGGCGCTAAACAAGAAAATGTAAGTTAGGTTTAGCCGGCAGGGACAGATAATTAATTGATTTGTAATTTATGCAGCTCACATGTGCAATTTGGCATCAGCGGCGCCGATGAAATTCAACAGGAATCATTAGTCCGCATTATTTCAAAGAACTTGTATCAGGCACAACGCCAACCGGTCCCATATGGAGTACTCGATCGTCGGATGGGCATCAGCACCAAGGATGCCGTCTGCGAAACTTGTGGCCAGGGCTTAAACGAATGCATTGGACATTTTGGTTATTTGGATCTTGCCTTGCCTGTCTTTCACATCGGACACTTCCGATCGACAATAAATATTCTACAAATGATATGCAAGACATGCGCACATGTTATGCTGAAGCCGGAGGATCGTGCGGTATTCGAGAAGAAACTTCACAATCCCAATTTCTCATACCTGGGCAAGAAGGCTCTGCACTCACAGATGCTCGCCAAAGCTAAGAAGGTGACCAAATGCCCGCACTGCAATGCGGCCAATGGAGGTGTCAAGAAGGGGCCCGGACTACTGAAAATCCTTCACGATCCATACAAGGGGCGCAAAAAGGATGCCACTTTCACCAGTCACATGGAAGAGATGCTACGCTCTACTGAGTTGAATCGGGATTTGAATTTAACTCTAAGCAACTACAGCGCCGCAGAGGAGCTAACGCCGCTCATGGTGCTCGATCTGTTTGAGCAGATACCACAGAGTGACATCGCTTTGCTAGGCATGTGCTCGCGCGGTGCGCATCCGAAGCACTTGATTGTAACCCGTGTCTTTGTGCCACCTGCCTGCATCAGGCCCTCTGTGCTATCGGAGGTGAAGGCGGGCACCACGGAGGACGATCTGACCATGAAACAGAGCGAAATTCTTTTGATCAACGATGTCATACAGCGCCATATGGCCACAGGTGGTAAAATAGAGCTAATACATGAGGATTGGGACTTTCTGCAGCTGCATGTGGCCCTCTATTTCCATAGTGAGATCAGTGGCATCCCGTTGAACATGGCACCCAAGAAGACAACGCGTGGCATTGTCCAGCGACTGAAGGGCAAACAAGGACGCTTTCGCGGCAATTTGTCCGGCAAACGTGTGGACTTCAGTGGCCGCACGGTCATCTCACCTGATCCCAATCTGATGATAAATCAGGTGGGCGTGCCAGTACGAGTGGCCAAGATACTCACCTATCCGGAGCGCGTCAATCCCGCCAATATACGGCAAATGAAGCAATTGGTACGCAATGGACCCGCCATGCATCCGGGCGCCAACTACGTGCAGCAGCGGGGCTCGAGCTTTAAGAAATACTTGGCCTATGGCAATCGCGAAAAGGTCGCCCAGGAGCTCAAGTGCGGCGACATTGTGGAGCGGCACTTGCGCGACGATGACATCGTTCTATTCAATCGCCAGCCCTCGCTTCACAAGATGTCCATCATGTGCCATCGCGCTAAGGTGCAGCCGCAGCGCACGTTCCGCTTTAACGAATGCGCCTGTACGCCGTATAATGCCGATTTCGACGGCGATGAAATGAATTTGCACTTGCCACAGACGGAAGAGGCACGCGCCGAGGCCCTAATCCTGATGGGCAATCAATCGAATCTGGTGACGCCGAAGAATGGTGAAATCCTGATTGCGGCCACACAGGATTTCATCACGGGCGGCTACTTGCTGACCCAGAAGGAGGTGTTCCTTACCAAAGAGGAGGCAATGCAGCTGGCCGCTTGCTTTCTGGCCAATGAGGACTCGACGATGCGCATTCAGATGCCGCCGCCGGCCATTTGGAAGCCGCGTCGCCTCTGGACGGGCAAGCAACTGTTTAGCTTGCTAATGCGACCCAATGACGAATCCATTGTTCGGCTCAACATGGTGAACAAGGGACGCAACTACTCGGGCAACATGGATCTCTGTGTCAACGATTCCTGTACGTCATCTGCTTACGTATATTTTGTTTGCCCACTCTTTTTAATATCCATCTCTCTCTCTCTCTCTTTCTCTTGTGGCGGCAGGGATTCACATTCGCAACTCGGAACTGATGTGCGGCACCATGGACAAGGCCACCATGGGCTCTGGCACCAAGCAGTGCATCTTCTATCTGCTGCTGCGAGATTTCGGCGAGGCTTTTGCCACCAAAGCCATGTGGCGTCTAGCCAGGGTGCGTATAACTTTTAGATTTGTCCATCTGTCTCTTTCTCCCTGGAAGTGTCTTGAGTCTGTGTGTGTTTATTTTCCGCCGTATATAGACCAAACTCTATTTTGCTATCTCTCTATCTCTCTCTCTCTCCCTCTGTCACTCTAAGGCTTCGTATTTTCTTTTCTGTCTTTCTGCTATCTCTTTCTCTCTCTCTCTTTCTCTTTCTGTCACTCTAAGCCTTCGTGTCTTCTTTTCTGTCTTTGCGCCCTCTGGGTGTGACTGTTTGCCCACTTGTCTCTTTCGTGTACGTGAATGCTACATTCCTCTCTCTCTCTCTCTGTATCTCTCTCTCTCTCTCTCTGTCTTTCTCTCTCTCTCTCTCTCTCTCTCTCTCTGTCTTTCTCTCTCTCTCTCTCTCTCTCTCTCTGTCTCTCTCTGTCTGTCTTTCTCTAATCTCTCTCGGTATTTGTAAATAACTCTTACTCTCTTTAGCTCTATATATTTTCTGATATACATATGTATATGTATATATAAAGACCAGTCATCCTATTTCTCCCTCTCCCTTTCTCTCTTTCTCCCTCTCCCTCTCTCTTTTTCTCTTCTTCTCGCTTTCTCTCTCTTTCTATAAGTCTTTCTGTCAGCATATCTCCCTCTTACTTAAATGTTGCCTACGTATCTCCCTCACTTTTTCAGTGTCAGCCCATTTTGTCCACTTTCCCTCCCTCTGTCTGTTTGTTCTCGGGAATTCAGTTAAATATGAAGCAGTTTATGTAGAATATCAACGTCTTTTTTTTATTTTTTGACGAACTCCAATCCAATCGATAATCGATCGTTAATCGATATCGATAATAACAGCAGACTTTCTACGATATACGTTATAAATCGATTGTTCACGTGATAACGATAACGACTTCTAAAAGTATATATTTGAAATAGCTAGGAATCGCGACTCTTTAACCCGACTCGATAATGATATTAGACATAGGCTAGCTCTGTTGATTCGATCGAGTAAGATAAAAAAAAGTCCCATAATAGAGCAATCAAACGATATCAATTAAAACTAAAAAAAAGAATCGATAATTGGCATGTGGAACTGAGCCCCTTTACAACAATGAGGCACTTGAAGATAAGCGCCCTTGCTCTTAAACCTTTTGTACCCAGCCTAGCACCAGCTGAACGGCCCAGCCGTGCCTGGAAGACCCATTGGAGCTATCTATGTGATGGTATAGAGAAGATACTGATGGCGTAGAGATCATATGTGAGGGACTGGGGTGTACGGGAAGGCGGAAGCGGGCTGGGCTATCTTATCTGTGGCATTCGTGGCATGGGGAAATCTGTTTTTGGTTTATTCGAGTGCTATATATTTGCGCTTTATTTTGCGAAATAGAAGGAAGTGGACTTTCGATTGATTATTATCTGAGCCATGGCATCAGTTTAGCTGAGTGTCAGTCCCGTTGTCTCGGCGATGTAGTCCAAGAACGAGGTGAGACGCACATAGCCCGACGGATAGCCGCTGGTGCACTGATCCTCGGCGACAAACGAATTGATGCCAATTTGTATCCAGGCATTCGCATTGCTGCTGTACACGATCAGTGGTCCGCCGGAGTCGCCGCTGCACGTGGACATCGTGCTGCCCGCATAGCCCTCGGCGCACAGTGTCGACGCCAGCACCACGTTCGAGCCAAAGATCGTCAGGCACTTGTCGTTGGCAATCACCTGCACCTGGGCATAGAGCAGCTCCTGCGAAAAGTCCAAGTACTCATCGTCGATCAGGCCAAAGCCGGCGATGGTCGCCTGCGTGCCCACATAGTTGTTGCTCGCCTGTTGGCTGCTCACCAGCTGGATGGGCTGGATGGTGCTCGAGAAGATCAGCTGCTGTGGCAGCTGTACCAGGGCCACATCGTTGTTCATCTTGTCATTGTAATTGGGATGCACGTACAGCTGTGTGGCCGTCATATTTATCGCCTCCTCCGGATTCAGCTCAACGCTGCCAAAGATCAGATAGAGCGAGCTACGGCCGTACGCACAGTGGCCCGCGGTGAGGACCCAACTGTTCGATATGATGGAGCCGCCGCACAGCAAATCATCCCATTCATCGCGCTTCAGTATCACCTGCCATGGAAATTGTCCAGCTGCCGCACGCTGGCCGCCAATAATGCGTCCTTGCTGTGGATTGAGAGATACGAATGTGGACTCTGAGTTGGACATCTGCTTTAGGAACTTACAATATCCGCTTGTGAGGCGGGCGGAGCTGCTAGCACCATTCGGAGTAACAGCAGCCAGCAAATGCCTCTAGCTGTGCCCAATCCTGGCCAGCTATCATGCATCCTTGTGGAATACCTCATTGGTTTCTCTATCGCTCTCTTTCTGTCTCTGTCTGTCTCTCTTTGTGGTGTCGCTTGTTGCTCGGCGACGTCTGCGTCGCTTTGCGTCGATTTTCGCAATTATATGCGGACCCATATGCAGCCCACTATGATATTGCCCCGCCCCCTCGCCCTCCTCAGCTCAGCTTGTCTGTCTTTTGTACAATTTCTTATTAACACGGTCTGGCCGTGTTCTTGTTATTTGGCCAGCTCGCAGTTCGCAGCGCAGCTCGATAAGATTAATTACTCACACGCCTGTCTCTATCTCTGCCGCAGTTGGCGTCGCAGTCGCTGGCGACGTCGCCTTTGACGTCGCTGCTACTGCTTAAATGCCTAGCTAACTGTTCGCCCGATCGTCTCCTCATCAGTTGTTCCTTTTGTCCAACTCAGTTCAAGTTCTTATCACTGATAAGGCGAAAAAAAAAATAAAGACCTCAATTTTACACTAGACAACATAAATGAGCTACGCTAAGCAGTTTATTGGATATATTGTTAGACTACATCTTTAAAGTCCTTAAAAATTCATCATATTATTTAGTATTTGGATTGAAAAATCATAGTTTTTTGAAATTTATAAAATACTCCCAAAATATTAAATAGTTTGAAGAATTTTAATAAGCCACAGTAGATCCGAGGAAGATTAGATCATCAAATACTTTTTACAATTTTGAATATTGATATCAATAATGATTGAGAACCCCCTGAAACTTTGTATAATATTGAGAAACAAATACATATTTTGATAGAACAAATGTTTGAACTGAGTTGTTTATATGATTTTTATATATCACATAACAATTGATCTTAAAAAATTAAGTTAATACTCCGAACTATTATACTATAATAATGCTATGCAATTCAATAAAAAAGGATAATCCTTTTTATGACAGACAGAGCTTGAAGGGGAAAAGAAAAGAAAACCTTATATCATATAAATATATTCTGGGCAAAGGTTTTTCTATGCTGTGCAGTGTAATTTAATTAGCTCACCTGCCAGTCGCTTGTCTGTACAAGCGAATTTAACCAATTAAATGGCAAGCAGCGTATTATTTACGTGCTTAACACCCGGCTGCCCCCGCCACGCCCTCGTGGAGCACCTTGAGGTGGGTTTATCTCAATCTGGCGACGACTTTCGCCAGAATCGTTTCACAGCCTTGTTATATATGAAGCCGTACTGGGAATTCGGTGGCAACAAACAATATAAACCCAAATTCCAGGCAACTATAAATAACTGTATGACAAACCCTTTCAGATTGCGTCGTACTTCATACAGAATCGGGGATTCTCTTTTGGCATCAGCGATGTGACGCCCAGCGCCAAGTTGCTGCAGCACAAGCAGGTGCTGCTGGAGCGCGGCTATGCCAAGTGCAACGAGTACATCGAGAAGCTCAAGGCGGGCACTCTGCAATGCCAGCCCGGCTGCACGCCCGAGGAGACCCTGGAGGCGGTGATGCTGCGCGAATTGTCCGGCATTCGAGAGCAGGCGGCCAAGACCTGCTTCGCCGAGCTGCATCCAACGAATAGCGCCCTGATCATGGCGCTCAGCGGCTCCAAGGGATCCAACATCAACATCTCCCAGATGATTGCCTGCGTCGGACAGCAGGCGATCAGTGGCAAGCGAGTGCCCAATGGCTTTGAGAATCGCGCTCTGCCCCACTTCGACAGGCACTGTAAGTAGTACTCCCCCGTGTTTCAAATACCCGCTAGATGTCACTCGTTGCTTCATTCTTAGATCGTGTTTGTATTATTAAGTGTCTAATTTTCATTTCATTTTCTTATTCGTTACTAATTCCTCGCTATATGTTACTGAACAGATTTTAGTATTGCTATCTAATACTCGTTAAATGCCACTCGTCACTTTATAACTAATTGTTGTAGCGAGAAGCTACATTAAGTCATTTTTATTATACCCTGAACCCATTGAAAATGGGAAATGATTTCTTGAGGTTTCTCTTGTTTATATTACTCACTACTTATTGCTCATCATCATTAGCTACTTGTTACTTATTACTCGTCGAGGGCATGCAGGCTGCTCTCTACTGAATATCTGCTTTAAGTTACTCGTCACATCTTACTCGTTACTTAAGACGTGTATAAGGTCACTCATTATTAAATATTGGACTATAACTGGTTATACCTAACAGACCATTAAATACTCGTAGCAATTCATTCGTTACTCGCTGCTCTTTACTCGCCTCTTGTTAGCTTGGATATCAAAGTATTACTCGTTACGTTATTACTCGTTATTCCCATCGCTCGCTACTCTCTACACGCCACTAATTCCATTTCTCTCGACTTGCAGCCGCTATTCCAGCCGCTCGTGGATTCGTGCAGAACAGTTTCTACTCGGGCTTGACGCCCACTGAGTTCTTCTTCCACACCATGGCCGGCCGTGAGGGTCTCGTCGATACGGCCGTGAAGACCGCCGAGACGGGCTATCTGCAGCGGCGTCTGGTCAAGTGTCTGGAGGATCTGGTCGTTCACTACGATGGCACCGTGCGCAATGCGGTTAACGAAATGGTGGACACCATTTATGGCGGCGATGGTCTCGATCCCGTGTCCATGGAGACGCGCAGCAAGCCCGTCGATCTCAATCATCAATACGACAACTTGCGCGCCCAACTGCCATGCGGCGATCAGCAGCCGCTGGCAGCGGGCGAAATACTCAGCACGATGGAGACGCTGTTGCAGCTACCGGAATTTGCCGAAGCACGCGCTGACTTTAAAAAGGATGTGACGTAAGTTCTGAAGCGGGAAAAGAGCGCTAAGTAGATCACTTGTTCTTGATTGACATTCCTAATAACCTTGCCCCTTTGCAGCGCCCACTTGAAGACCGTCACGCAACGCATTAGCAGGCTGCAGGAGAAATACGGCGCCGAGCATAAGGATCTGTGCAAGCAGATCGAGTGCATCAGTCGGGAGCAGCTGCTCGAGTTTCTGCGACGCATCAACGATCGCTACAATCGAGCGGTGACCGAGCCGGGCACAGCGGTTGGCGCCATCGCCGCCCAGAGCATTGGCGAGCCGGGCACCCAGATGACCCTCAAGACGTTCCATTTCGCTGGCGTCGCCTCGATGAACATCACACAGGGTGTGCCGCGTATTGTGGAGATCATTAATGCCACAAAGACGATATCGACGCCCATTATAACAGCCGAGCTGCGCAACAATACCAGCATGGAGTTCGCGCGGCAGGTGAAGGCGCGCATCGAGAAGACAACGCTGGGCGAGCTGTCCTCGTTTGTGCAGCTTGTCTGCGGACCCTTCAGTTGCCATTTGGTCATTGGCATCGATACAGCGCGCATTAAGGTGCTCGGCCTTCACATCGATTTGGATAGCATTATATGCAGCATACTGAAATCCCGGCTGCGCATCAAGGCCAATCAGCTGCATGCCATACCGAAGAAGTCAAGGATTATTGTTCGTGTGGAGGCGACACGCAATGCGACGATCAACGCTGAGCTGTCTCGCCTAGCGACCACCATACAGAACGTAGTCGTTGCGGGCCTGCCGAACATTGCACGCGCCGTCATCGCCATCGACGATGCCAAACAGCCGCCCACCTACAAGCTGTGCATCGAGGGCTATGGACTGCGGGAAGTGATCGCCACCTACGGCGTGGTGGGCGAGCGTACGCGCAGCAACAACATTTGTGAAATCTATCAGACGCTGGGCATTGAGGCGGCGCGCACCATCATCATGAGCGAGATCACGGACGTGATGGAGGGCCACGGCATGAGCGTCGACTGGCGTCACATTATGCTCCTGGCCAGCCAGATGACCGCACGTGGCGAAGTGCTGGGCATCACGCGCCACGGCCTGGCCAAGATGCGGGAGAGCGTCTTCAATTTGGCATCGGTAAGACAGAGGAGTACAATTCCACTTAACGTATATCTAATCGATTGCTTTCCCCCACTCAGTTCGAGAAGACGGCGGATCATCTGTTCGATGCGGCCTACTATGGCCAGACAGATGCCATCAACGGCGTCTCGGAGCGCATCATTTTGGGCATGCCCGCCGGCATTGGCACGGGCATATTTAAGCTTCTGCAGCTGCACGCAGACAAACAGGTGCCGGATATATCGCCGACCATATTTCACGAGTTGAAGCTACAGCCCTTTGCCTAGCCCAGTCGTGCGTGCATCAAGCATCTCCATCACCCGCCCGCCAACAGCAGCAGCTAATTTTTAGTTAACCCCTAGTTAGTCTATAGACATGAAGCGGAGAGAATACTTGATTGTCTTTCTGCTCCAGTTAAAGCTTTCGAGACAGATTTTAGACGAAATATTTGAATTCCTAGAGCAGTTAAGAAACATAATACTGGATTACTTCTGAAAATCTAGAACTTTGGCTGCTGGCAATATATTAAGAGTGTTATCTATGATACGATATATCGGTTGTTAATATGAGCTATTTTGTAATACCCACTGTTCCCAAAATATATTAACAAGGGATATTTAATGATTCCTAACAGCCACTCAGTCCATATAGAGGATTTTATATTATATCAGGTATACATATATCCATATATAAGAAGAATAAATATAATCAATCTCCAGCATGGGCCAAGTAAAAAACATTTCTTCATTAGTTTCACTTAGTTATTTATTACATAAATATATATTTATATTTATATATAGTATAGTTGTATATATTTTCATAGGGTATGTGCTTAGCATGAATTGAATTTTATAATTACGATATTTGTTTTTTTTTCTTCTTGTTTTAAATATATACTTTGAAGAAATAAAAATAAAAATCTATTTACTAAAAAAAAAAACAACAAAATTCGTTCGAAATATTCAAATAAGTTTTCAATTGATAAAACCTAAATGTAAAGAAAGTTTTCTTTATTTTTGTGTTGTTTTTGGACACTTAGAATAGGCATGGAGCATCATTATAATATACTAAAAAAATAATTATTAAAAAAAAAAAAAAAAAAAACTAAAATATGTATATCACAGGATTATTTTTATAAAAAAAAAAATAAGAAAAACATAATCGTAAACAATTAAAACGATCATCTTTACTCAAGAAACTTTAATTTTCATTTCAATTATTTCATGAAATTTAAAAACAAAGTAAAACGCTGTTCACATTGGAGCAAAAGCAGGTAAAGATCAAATATCTCATATGAGACTTGCTAAAAATCAGATATTCCATATTGGGATTAGCTATAGATATATATATGTATATGTATATAAATTTTCTGTTTTTCATGATTGGGCTTTTAATGCATGTTTAATTGAGCTTATGAACTAGTAAAAAAAATACGAATTTAAATATTTCAATTAGTTATTAAAATCTATAGATCGATTATATATATACATACATATATATAGGCCTATATATGTATATATATATAAGGTATATATTTAGTTACATGAACTATGACTATAAAAAATTATTTGCTTTGGGCTTTGTTTTACTTTCTATGAGCCGACTAAAACTTAAGCTTAAAGAGAGAGTGTTTTTGTGTATTTGGGGGAGGGGATAAAATCGATATCGATATAGAAATCAAAATCAAAATCAAAATCGGAAATCAGTCACTGACATCGCTATGAACCTGGCTGGCACCAACTAGATCTGGCTCCGGTATTGCCCCCATCTCCGTTACCGTTTCCGGCCCCGCACTCGCCTGGGCCTCGCCGTAGCCTGCTCTTCTGTCATGGATCAGCATCGATAGCGTTTCCAGGCTGCGACGCACCTGTAAATCAAATCAATTCAAATCAATCATCATTTACTCAATTTATCTACACATATAAATATTATAATATCTTTATAAACAATATTGTGCGATAAGGCGCAGATATTATTGCCCCCAGCTGGCTAGAAATCCCGGAGGTCGGCCAATGTTTGATAAGATTATTAATTGATTCATTGATCAAGTGATTGCCCAATCTATCGATTGCCACAGCGGCTAAACCTTTAGCAAGCGTACGAGATTATACAAATAATCCTCTTCACTTTATAAAGCCAGTTGGCAAACTTTCTCTCTCTAGGTCTTTAGCTGGTATTCTCTTTCCCATTGCTTACTCTCTCTCTCTCTCTCTCTCTCTCTCTCTCTCTCCTTCAAAGTTTTTGTTTCTACACTGTTCTCTTTATTTTTAAAGGCTCTCTCGTGGTATTCTCAACATATTTTTGATTCTCTGTTCTATTTTCATTGCGATTTTTTTCATTGACTCTCTCTCTCTCTCTCTCGGTTTCTAAATATTTCTTCTCTTTGTTGATTAAGTAAATATCAATCTCTATCGATATATATACATTTATATCTATACTGTTAGTCTCTCTCCGCTTACCTTCTCTGCTTCTCGCGCTGCCCACACATGCTCTACTCTACATCTATATCTCATTTCGCCTTCTCTAATCTCTCTCTCACTCTCCACTCATTAGCTGAGCTTCATCTTCTGCCCGTCGTCTCTCACCTTGGATATTTGCTCCAGATTCCGCGTTAAAATATGCTGAGCCTCTGCCGTGCTTTTGTCCTGCAGCTCCTTTTGCCAGCGCAGCGCCTCCACGAAGATGTCTTCATCGGTGCCCGGCCGCTGTTCACGAAGAAGTTAGCATTAGACCTCAAGGATCTGCGTGAGTTCAAGGATGGTCTTACCATATTGAAGTCGACTGGCGTCCGGTAGAGACTCGTTTTGGCCTCGATGTCCAGGATGCGGTAGAGCAAGAAGACTGAGAAGAGGGCAAGCATAAAGGCCAGCATTATGCCCAGATAGATGACATGCAGCTCTGTGAGGGACGGCAGCCGCAGGCGCAAATGCAGGCGTGCCGAATGGGCCAATCCACTCAGACGTCGACCCACTGATGGCGCTGCAGTTGGCGTTGGTGGCGGCGCTGCCACGCCCACAACTGTAATGGGCGACGAGGAGCTGGAAGGAGGGCCAGAGCTGGACGCAGCCGAAGCTGTTGCGGAAGTGGAAGCGGAACCATTCACCGTACGGCTCCCAGCGCCGTTCTGAATGAGCAGCACTTGCCCGCCAGCCATCGGCTCCTCATAGTGGACAATGGGTGGAGCGGAGCTGCGAATGGTCAACTGGCTATGCGATACGCTCAGCGAGCTTCTTGCCTGATGATCTGTTTGGGCAGACAACAAAGAGTTAGTTCAACTGATGTATACGGAATACATATATATGTATGTATATGGTCGGGATCTTACCGGAATGTCTGTCACTGCTTGGTCGCTGCCGGAGAAACATTTGTGGCTCGGATTCTATGGCTGCCGCCTCGGCGGCGGCTGCTGCATTTCGTAGATGTGGCGGGCTCTCGTTGCCGCTGACCGAACAGCTGCTGTCGTCGTCGATATACTCCTCCGTGAGCTCCACATCCACGGGCAGGGGCTTGGGCAGAATCTCCGGCCCCGAGGCGAGATGGCTGCACACGTTGCACATTAGACGAAATGCGGACTCGCGGCTGATGAAGCTGCCAAACACATGACGCTCATCGGCTGTGGCGACGCCCACAGCATTTGGTATTATCTTAACGGTTTTCTCTTTGGAGATTTTCGTTACCGAAGACGTGGGAATAACAACCTGAATGGCAAACCCAATTGACATTAAATGGCGCCACTCTGAGTAAGGGAATACGAGACCTACCTTGGTTACATAGCCAAAGACATTGGAGTAGAAGGCGAAGTGATCGTCCGTTATGTACAGATGACCCTGCAGCGGAATGTCCCCAACCAGAGCGCATGAGAAGTCTGCAAAGAAAAAGCAATAAAATGGGAAAAAGTTAAGATTTGCATTAGGCTTGAGTAGTATACTACACATGTATCTATATATATTTCTATCTATCTATATATAGTTCTATTTAATTATTTATGTACATATCTGTTTATCCATCTCTTTGTACAACTATCTCTCCACACAACCATCTATGCATCCATATGTCTATATATCTATCTATCTACCATCTCTCCATGCATCTGTTTGTCTATCTGTACTTATATCTATCTATACATCTCTATCTACATCTCCCTCCTTATACATAACTGTTTATCTATAATGATATCTATCTATCTACATATTTCTTCATACCATATATCCATACATGTATCTATCGATCCATTTCTCTTTACATCTATCTATACATCTGTCTGTCTATCTATATATTTATATCTCTATATACATTTATCTATCTACCTATATATCTATCTATACATCTATCTTTACATCTATCTATACATCGATCTATATATCTATCTATATGTATCTATCTACCATCTATCTTTACATACATACAAACATGTAGCTACCTATACTTCTATCGATTTACACAAGTAATTCTTCTACAGCAGTAATTCAATCTGATCTGAATATAGATTTCATTTGACATACAACTCAATCAGCATTATCAACAGTGCTCTGAGAATAAATACATTCTTTAAGAACAGTTAAATGCTATTATAAAGTGGATTAATTCTTGATCGATGCAATAAGGAAGTCTCACATATAGAAACAGTAATGCTGTCACAATAGCGCCATCTGTCGGCCTCTACTTACAATTGATGAGCTTCTCGTCTTTGGAGACTTGCGAGAAATGACGATGGAACTTTTTCACACGCGAACTGGAGACTTCCTTGCGCTTCTTCTCCTTTTCGTTTGGCGTTGCGGCTACTGTGGCGCTGCCCGCAGCTGCCGATGAGGATGCAACGCTGCTGCTGCCGCCGCCGACGCCGCCGCCGCCGCTGCTGCTGCCGCCGTTGCCGGCGCCAGCGGTGGCAGATGTTGAGGAGATCGTTGCCACCGCCGACGCCTGTTGCAGTTCATGTTGTTTGGCCGTGTTGCCGGCCGCTGAGCCGCCCGTCTTGCCTTGACCCTGACTCGGGCTGTGACGGTTGCGAGGACTGATACTGGAGTTGCTACCGAGACTCTGAGCGCTGCCGCTCGACTGCAGCGGACCGTTATAGCTGCTGAAGCTTTGAGGCAATGAACTGAAAATGACAGAGAAAAAAAAATTATATTAACAAATCATGTTAACTTTGTCTCCCACCTATAATTAATCAGCAATGAAAAGCTTTGCCATTTCAGATCTTAGATCTTTGATCTTGGAACTGTGATCTAGGATCTTTGATCTTGGATCTTTGATCTGTGATCTTTGATCTTGGATCTTGGATCTTTGATCTCGGTCTTAAATCTTGGATCTTTGATCTTTGATCTTGGATCTGTGATCTGTGATCTATGCTCTGTGTCCTATGATCAATGATGTACGATACGATCTATGGTCTGTAATCTATAATCTGTATTCTACATTCTATATTCTATATTCCATATTCCCATATGTATCGCTCGTTTGCATTCACACTCCATAATTTTGTGCAGTGTCTTTAGTAAAATCTTTATCAGGCATTATGGTTAACGATAACACAGTCCCGACCATAGCCACAGACCTATCGGTTGACACAAAATGCTGAGTGGACAAGGTTAAGGCGAAACGTTTAAGATAAAGGTTGCTAAGAGCTCTGGCTGAGGCTTGAATTACCATCTGTCGGCTGACTGCAGGAAACTGGGTTCTGTTAAGACTAAGGCCTAGATAATGCCAATTGATTGGCCATAAAAGCTTTTATGATCGAGCGCAGCTGGTGGAATACCTTTGTCAATTAATAGCCCAATTCAAAGTGGTAAAAGTTAGCGATACGCGAACACAAGTTGTCGAGATAATAAAGTGTGAGGAATGGTGATCGGCTAAAGTCAACGTAATGATTAATACAACAAATTGGGAAGCTTCATACTTCATGATCCATTCAATGAAACGAGGGAATACTGTCTAATGCTTTGGCATTGAAATAGAAGTAGCACCAATTTATAGTATTCTGAAGAGAAATTTTGAATTACAGGGCATCTTCTAGTCTCGTATTCATGTTAGTTGTTATTGCTTCTTCTGTTTTACTTTTTTGGGCTCAACAATCGTCGAGACCTTATCGCTAGACGCACAAGTCGATTTATGGTTAGAAGCTCATGACATTGTAAAGATTTACGATGCTTCGTTGTTTGCCTTCTCTCTTTGTTCCTCTTTGTCCCTATCTCTGTTTCCTTCTCTCGCTGTCTCTCTTTCGCACCACGCTGTCTCGACATCATAGTGATCTAATGCTTGGATCTACATGCAATATAAACATTCCGAAAATATAGACTGATAAGGCTCCATGTGCTGTCTTATAATTTATAGTATATACTAATTATTATCTATACCATGAGCCGGCACATGAATCAGGCGCAGCGTCGGCTCAGCAGCCAACTGCATATCTGAGGTAACCGACCCACAGCTGAACCTATATTTAGATATGGATATATGTATATCCAGTCTTGTCGATAAGCGTTTACAAATTGTTTGCCTATTTTATTAGAGCTTTGAGCATAATCTTATTTGCATTCTATTCGGGGGCTAGATAGCTGCAATTCAGAGTATTGTGTCGTAAGCTCAGACAGTTCAAAACTTTCGCTGATCGTTGAGTCACCTGGCGAATGTTGTCATTGTCCAGCTGTAAACGTGTTTTTCTTTTCGTTTCTGTTTTCTTGTTATTCTTCTGGGTTTAAGGTTCGCAAGTTATCGGGTAAATGTTAAGGGTGCAGAGCGCTATACTAGATACATGATTTTATAATAGGTCTTTCAACTCAGTTAGCCAATTGGGTAATGGAAATCTTTTTCTCTGTTCTCGTTTTATCAATGTAACTCTTGCTGCATTCATTGATTAGGTGTTGAATCGAGTGGCACTTATGTAAGGGTTAAAATAGTTCCAATTTACGCTGATTATATGAAAATAATAAGTACATGGAATGTAGAATACGAGTATTAACTTTCAGATTTACTTGGCTCTGTCTTAATTATTTCGTTTTAATCTTACAATAGTTTATTATTTCTTTATAATTACTTTCTTATTTAAGATATGCATCCCTAACAATTCCATTTTTATATCATATCGCAAAAGTTAACAGAGTTTCGATGCATTCTTATAATTCTTCTGAGCATTTCGCCAAATCCTACTGCATCGATTTCGTTTCAAATCTATTATCGCTCTATTTCAATTAACATACATATACATATGTACATATGTATGTGTGTGTCTCAAGTCAAGCGCCAATTCGCTTCGAACTAACTATTCGCTCCTGACTTACGGCGTTGAATTGTACTGCTGCTTGTGCTTGTCATTCGCCTTGAGTCGCTCGACGCCATTTTGAGCTTTGCTCTCTTTTGAAGAGTGCTCTCGCAGGCTGCCGCCGATTGTATTGCTGTTGTCGTTGGTGCTGCTGTGGCTCTGGCTCTGGCTCTGGCTGCTGCTGCTGGATTCGATGAGGGACATGCGCTTGAATGTGCGCGCTACAGAACGTGCGCCGCCGACGACAACGTCGCCCGCTGCAAAGACAAAGTTGCGATCGCGGGAGCGGGAATGGGAGCGCGTGCTGCTGTTGTCTTTCTTATGCCGTCTGACAACCGGTGGATGCGTCATGTTGTTGTAATCTTTGTTCTCAGTGCTCTCAGCAGTGCTCAAGCTGTTATTATTATTGTCGTCGATAGGCGGCGTATCGCTGCGTATATCAACACGTTGCACTGGCGACGCACCCGCGTCCCCCACCGCCAGATCCTGCTCGAAGTAGACGCTGAGCCGGCCATTGCTGCGCACATTATCCGCTACGTGCATTTTTTCAAAAATTCGTTTCTCGTTTTCAAATTAATAAATTTTGTATTTGACTTAAGTTGCACAGCACAAAAAAAAAACTAACTATAGCAATAACAAATAATAGTAGGGTATTGAACACGCGCGCTGTCTGAATTGAATTCGAGTAATGCAAATATACAAAAAGTAAATTCTAGCTGTAACCGAAGCTGCGATTAGGTGCAGCGAGCGCGTCTCCACTGTCAACTGTTAACTTTTAACGGTGCTTGTTTGTCTCTTTTGGCTTTTATATTTCGTGTCGTCGCTTGTTACATATTCTGCTTTAACACCGTCCGCTGCCGGTCATGTCGCGCGCCAGCGTCTCGCGTTAACTGAAACCGTTTAACAGTGCCGGCAACCACAACGGCGACGCAGCAGCTGCCATTGGACATTTTTACCATTGGCATGGTCGGCGTCGACGCCGGCAGCAACAGTAACAGCAACGATGGCGACGTCAGCGGCGGCAGCGACAGCGGTTTGTTTATAGCATGCTGCAGTTTGAGAGAGCGCGAAAAGCAAATGGCGGCAGCAGTTGATGAAAGCATAACATACCCTGCATTGCATGTGACTCAAGTGCAGAGGTTTAACATATATGATATATTTTATTTATGCTATATTATTATTTAGAATTTAATCATTATTAAATAAAGTAATAGACTTGAATTAACTAGAGCTGTTACACACACTTTCACAATTACTCACGTGTGTGACAAACAATATATCCGCATACGTCCGCACATTTGCTACAGGGCATGGGTTATGCATGCGCTTTTGCTTTTGCTTTGCTCTGCTTTTGGCTTTGCCGTTGGTTTTGTTTTGCGAACTTCTTCAGATAGCAATTGCTTCTATCTCAATTAGTTAATTGTTATGTTTTAAAAGAGTGTTTACTTGGTGTTTTGAAGCGCATGAAGTGTCAACTAATTAATTAATTATCTATTATCAAACGCAATTGTTATGCTTTGTATAAAAAGAGCGCGAGAGAGCCAGAGTGAGAGAGAACGAGAGAGAGTGAGGTAGAGCATATGTATATTCTCATATTCTCTTTCATGTCAACATTTATCAATGACATTCGTTGTTCCCGCTGCAAGAGTAGATAACAGATATCTAGCATGGGTCGTTGCTTGGTTTGGGGCCGTCTGCTGTGGCTATCCTGTAACTGGATTACTGCTGCTCGTGGCGCGTCTGGCCGAACGGAATGATTCATCGTGGAACGCTTTTGAGTGGTTCATAAAAAAAAAAACAGCGATTGATTATGCTCTGGTAGTTGACATTTAATTGTTTATTGACAACCTGCTGCTCCCTTGCGCCCAAAATCTTCAGAGTGACTCATTCGCAGTACTGAACGGTGGGCGGGACCAAGCTGCTGCCCCCCATTCGTGGCTAGTGAGCCACATGATGAATCATGTGAGCCTTATCAGAACGCCTCGAAAAAGGGGGCAAACGGCAGTGTGGGGGCTCGCAGCTCAACATCAATGCAATCGACTTTCGATTGATTATCAAACGTATATCAATGTACAATTATTGCTTTATAAATACTGAGCGACATATGTTTTCCGAGCACGTGTGATTTATGTTTCCATCTGAGATCCGATAGCGAATTTTTCTTACCACTCGCACCCTAGCCTATGTAAGTATCTATAATAGTCGTCCTGTAGAGGGCGCATTGCCTATAGTCAATACGACTCATATTATATTTAAATATTTTAGAATAGCTAAATTTATTTATTTTACTTATACATATAATAAACGAATTTTTATTTTAAATTAATTATTATTTTTTTTTTTCAATTCTTGCTAAATTCTGTATGAACATCGAACGAGTATTAGTCAGTCAGTAGGTTTTGGGTAGCGAGTGCTACGTCGATCAGAGTGACCAGAATTTGGCTTACACACTATCCCGAGCCCTACGATAACGATGATGATGATGATGATGAGTAACCCATTCGCCTGAATTGGTTATGAGTGATTCATTGCTTATCTCTATGAGATATCTAAGGAATCAGTAGCTAAGTAGTTGAGTGGCTGTTAAGTGAGTAACCGATATTCTAATTAACCACTTCTAAGCTAATTAGTCGATTAGCCATGATTATGCTGAGCTTTCACGCGTGTCACGTGAAGAGTGATAAGAGGGAGAAGGACTGCAGGAAGGAGTAGCAGATGTATTGGGGTGGCTTCTATTTGATTTAACTAAGGAATATCTCACGAGCTTCCTAGATCTATCAAGACCCGATTATTCGAAATGGCAAAGGGATCAGTTTTTTTTTCGGTTTACACACAAATTCAATTTATCGAGAGTTATCTATAACAAATTTCTTTCTTATTTTCGATTCATCGCGATTCTGGATTAAGAGAGTTAGAAATTATCGAGAATCGGTTGTAAATTTATCCCTACTGTTCAACTTAACCTAATGATATATAAAGAGATAGAGATAGAGATAAATATAATATGTTCTTATTGGCTAATATTCAAAACAAACGATTTACTCGCTCGGGTTGAGCAACCAACAAGAAGTAACTAAGGTCTCGTTTAACTAAACAAGAATCCAGTTAGATCTATGACTCATTTCTCTTAACTATTTACATCGTTTGGAAAATTTTAATATATAAGGAGTTACGAGGCTAGCCAGTAATTCATATTAATTATCCAGATGCAGATGGTTTTTGCTTATCTGGTTTTAGTCTTATCGAAATATCGATTCAAATCGATTAAAGGAGCATGCGATATATATGATTATATCATCTCTATCATATACGCATATATCTACTCTATTATTTATTGTAGATTATAAGTAATATAAACTTAAACAATAAAAAGCCATTGGCAACTGGGCCCTTAGACTAATAATATACTCTATATTATCACTTTCAATAGGGCATGAGGTAAAGTAGCTCCTCTTGAATCTATTTCAGGCACTTAATGGTCTTGTTTATCTTAGCAGCTGACTCTGGCAATAATCTATTGATATTTTCCAGTGTCTGTGTGTGTGTGTGTGTGTGTGTGTAGCACAGCTGGCAAACACCTGCTGCACAACCACACACAGACAGACACACGCACAGCGTATATATATTTACAAGCCTTTTTATTTTTGGTGTTTTCTGAGAACTGCCTGATTAGGAGAACAACAAAAGGCCGCATGACTGGCCAATATGCCGTGCCACGCCCATTGTGTGACCAGAAAAACGGCCCACATCGATGAGCAAACAAAAAACGACAGAAAAACATGCGAATTGGCCCATTGATAAGACAAACAGGTGGGCAAAATATAACGGCAAGAGGTAGCAGCAGCAGAGGCAGTGACAGCAGCGGCAGCAGCGGCAGAGCCGATCAGCGATGTTAACTGCGCTTTAGCCATATCTTATCGATAGACATTGTTTCAATTGCCAGGCCAATTATTCGCACAGGCACACAGAAACAGACAGACAGAGAGAGAGAGAGAGAGAGAGAGACAGACAGACAGGCAAGCAGGCAGGCAGGCACAACAGGTAGCTAATTGCTCTGGCTCACCTGTGCTCCGGGCCAAGCGTCTCGGGCAGGGATAACTGTGTGGCCAATTGTTGGCGTCTTAGCTGCGGCAATTGCTGCTCTAGTAGTAGTTGTTGTTGCTGTTGTTGTTGCTGTTGCTGCTCGTTTAGTGTTGCCGCTGCTGTTGATTTAGGATTGTCGCCAGCTGCTGCTGCTGCTGCTGCTGATTGTTGTCCTGGCAGCTGCAGCGCTGCCATGGAGCCTGTTGCACGCTCATCGAGGGCGCCGCTGTTGCCGCTGACGACGCTGTTCGTCGATCTGTTGATTAGCCAAAGAAAACAGACAGGAGCCGAGGGCGGCCAACGCGGCGTATGAGTAACTTGTGCCACAGTCAGAGCAAACACAAAACTGTTGCATGCTTTTAGGCGGAGCCATGAAAATAACAACAAACGCAATAAAACTCGCTTTGGACTCGATGTGAAGGCGGCGTGAATGTCGTGTGTGTGTGTGTGTGCGTGTGAACTTTTCGAGTATATAGCCCTAATGTGCATATATATGGGGTATATGATGGACTGCTCGTATCACTCCTTAATATTTATTTGCATATGACAATCGTGTCTCGATAATTCGAAATGAAATTCATAGAAATTCAAGTTATCGAGAACTATCGCGAACGATTTTCGATTTATCGGGGTACACATTATCGAGACTCAACTGTACCTGTTACTTTAGACTTTCCGAGTATATTTAGCATTTTAATTGTAACTGGATTATGCAACGAGTTCGGCTATTGCTTTATGTAACTCGTTATCGATTACTCATTACAGCTTAATCGATACTCGTAATGAACGATTATTCTGGCTCAGTTTTACTCGTTATTTATTACCCATCAAATTTATCATCGTTACTAACTTGATATTGTCTAACTTTCACATTACTCATATCACTCGCTTCGTGAAATCGAAGAAAGAGAAAGCTAATATAGACTATTCGATGTAATTCGAATGAAAACAATATAGAATCTTAACTTATCTATCACTGAGGAAGTTAAGCTATTTGTCCTCAATTTTCTACATGTGTGCTAATCTAGATAGAACAAATATCGGATTGCTTGGCTGGAAAATTGAAATACCCTTGTAACATAAATGGTTCATTCCATATTTATTAATTGCAACTGTTTAGCTAATTGAGAAGAGCAGCATGCAAACTAATTAAGCTCTAGCAAAGCTGCTCAATTAATTGATGAAATTGATATGAAACAGATATACATATACAGAGATACATATCTACACTTATATTCATAGATATTAATATAAATTTTTGGGTTAAGATCTTAAACGAAAAAAATATATATATAAAAACTCAGATATGTAAAACTTAAGAAAAAGCTACAAATAATACGTATGTTCCAGTTTTCCCGCTGAATTTCAATCTATACTCTTATATAATATATGAACTTCGTCTTTTCTATTTTCCACCGATTTCATCAGCTCCATTTTCTACTGCTCGGTGGAAATTAATGCATATATACTGTGTGCATTTCATCCATTGTGGCTGTTTACTTTGCATCGATTCGGTCTCTTTAATTATTCAAGTCCGTTAAGCAAATGTGCTGAAAGGCTCGTCGAATGGCCCTAAATTGTACCATCCGCTTTCACCTGTCACCTCCCCGCCATAGACACGTGCCGTTGCTCATTAATAATGAAAAATTCATATTTCATAAGCCTCACAAGCTCTATTCCCATATGAACAAAGCGTTTCATTTGCATTTTTAATCTGTGGTAAAAGAATAAACAGATTCGAAGTGCTTTAAGGGCTCTCTTGATATTTCGAAAATTTCCAATAAAAGGGATGACCTTTCGAAAGGCCTGACAACGTTTTAATTGACTAAACGCAAAGAAATTTTTAGATGAATCCATTAAAAGCTATGACAACTTTCATCGAATATTTATAGCCCCTTTAACCTGTGACATTTAATGCTAGCAATCCCTGGACTCCCATTAAAAATAGCATTCGCTGTGGAGACTTTGACAACCATGAAATTATATCAAAGAAAAAAAATGTATTTGGGAAATATCATAGGTGTTGAAGTAAAGTATGGGTTTTTTGGAAACAATGAAACGTCTATGGAGATTTTTAACAAATCTTTGGAGACTATGCCAAGAACTTAATTCTCTCTCAAATGCGTTTATACTGATAGAAGATTAGTACTAAAAGCGTTGGAGACTTTATATTACAGAGTAAAGTCGCTGAAGATATTGGTAGACATTTTTGAAATATCGCCTCGATAGCTCTCAAATTGTATTGGAACCTATAATGGAGACTTTTCAGCTCTTGGAGAGGCAAGTAAGATGAGAAACCTACAAAAAATTTCATTAGATACAAAGTTTTATATAAAAAAATTTCATCTAGGAGGCTTTTGTAAGGAGTTTTGTACGAGGTATACAACTTTTTATCTAGGAGGCTTTCTTTTTCACAAACTCCAGAAAAACAATCAACGTAGGCTTTGTCGAGCAACCGAGGCAATGTGGTAAGCTAAGCAGCTCTAAAATTTTCATTTTCCATTTTGAAGCAGACGAAATCATACAGATTTGTGACCTTAGTCTCATTCAAATTCAAGACGTATAGCTTCGTTATTATATATAGATTTTTTTTTATAAAAATTATTTCGTTTTAAAAATTACAAAATTCCACGTAAATTCAAATCGCGAAAAAAAAGCATTAGAGAAGTCGTTTAACCGTTGAAACGAATACACGCCCGTGAGCATAGATATAATACGGACAATAGGTGCAAAGATCGTCGATTCAAAGTTAACGCGACACTAATTCACGCGAAAATACACAAATATATATATTCGCGCGTATACATACATTCATACATTCAAGAACGATGCATCGCCGAAGCTATACCCTGCCCAAATACGCGCTGTGCATTAAGAGAAGTTCATTGACCGCGGTGGAGCGGTATGAACTGAACCAGTGGCTGGAGGAGCATAATGTTAGCTCAGCGAACCTGCGGCGAGTCTTTACCGATGTGCAGCCGCTGGCGCGACTGTTGTACCGCTACTATCCGGAAATTGTTGATCTCAATATCTACCCGCCCGTGAATAGTGTGCACAACAAGGTGTGCAACTGGGAGACCTTTAACCGACGCGTCCTGTCCAAGCTGGGCCTGCAGTTGACCCGAGAGCAGATGATTCGTGTTGCCCGCAGCGTGCCCGGCTCTGTGGATCAGCTGCTGTATAGCGTGATGCGTGTCCATCGGGCGGCTGAGCAGAAGGCGCGCGAGGAGCGCATCAGCACCGAGGAAGAGGTGGAGTCGCCAGCGGCAACACAGCAGCCATCTGGCGTGATGGACGAGCCCCCCAGGTCCAACGAACAAAGGCCCTTAACGTTGCCCCTACCGGTGCCGTTGCCCACGACCTTGTCCTTCAGTCTGTCGCAGGCCAACAGGCAGACAACTGACGACATTAATAGGGTGATACCGACCGCCTATGCAGTGAGGAGCCTGAGGCAGCTTGCCTCTGGAACACCATCGGTGACCATGAAGCGTTCGTCCCTGTCACGAGGCGGCATACCCACAGGCGCTGACACCACTGGAAGTTCGGGACGCAGCCAGCGGCATTTGCTGAACAGACGCTCCTACACAACCACAGCGACGGTCGAGCAACCGTCAGCAGCGTCAGCAGCGACAGCGGCCACAGCAGGTGCAATGCCAGAAGCGGCTGAGGCAGACCCACAAACAATGGCAACAGCATCCCGACAAAGAGGTGAACAGGTTAATGTGAAACCAAAACAACGTATGGTACTTTATTCCGTCTATATGCAGGCCGTTAAGAAGCTGGAGCGTCGGAACGCTCGCATCGCTCGATACGATCAGTGGGCCGCTCATCTGGAGAATATGCTGCAGCTGAAGTGCGAACGGATCGATGAGCTGCAGCGCCAGGTGGCCGTTGCCATGTTGGCCACCCGCCAACGGGGTCGACGATCGAGGCGCAAGAAGCGTCGGATTCCAACGATTGATGGGATGCTAGAGGCTGCTAAAACGCTGTAGATGCACTCACACTCACACACACATATATACATCTATGTATGTGTGTGTGTGCACAATCACAAAGAAACACTTATATTCTCACTTCTGAATCAATCGATCCTTGTGTCCATACCTCTGCTCTTATATATACATATATATATATATATATATTGCTATACATGTAAACATAAGCACATGTATATATATATCTTTATATATCCCAATATGTCCCTATATGTATGCAGTCGATATATGTATATAGCACTCAAGGCTACTTTACCTTCTCTAACAAATTTCGGTTCAATTTATCATATCTCTGATTTGTCCAAAACATGAATATCTATTCAAATTCGGGTCTCATTCCTTTTTTTTCGGCACAAACTTTGTAGAGACAGTCACCCAAACAAACAACCCTCCACATACAACCCTCTGATTTCGGCAATATTACTTAACAAAAAAAAAAACAAACCAACAACAAAAACCTAACCTGACAATACAATACAATTTTTTGTAAATTTAACCAAGTATATTTGAAATAAACCAATATTAAGCGAAATCGACATTTGTAATTACCCAAATATTTTAGCTCGACACGTTTATGGCATCTGGAATTACTGGAATGTGTGGCACATAAATGGAGAAGAGCTCTTCATAAATAAATCTACTGTTTGAAATAAATCACATTATATTAAGACAAGAAATTGAAGTTTTTATTTTAAGATTTGGGGAGAATTTCTTGTTTAGGGAATCATTTCTTTAGAGCTTTACTCTGTTGGCTTGGCATTTGATTCAGTAATCTCGAAAAGCGCATAACTTTTATTTGGTAAAACCTTTCAATATAGCTGCTACAAGTTCTTATACTTAAGCTTCTATAGTCAAGTCTTATCGTTGATGTTGATTGATATAATCACAAAGTATATAAATTACATTTATCGAGATCCCATCAGCTAGCCAGAGATGGAGCTAAATTGACTCAACTGTTGGTCTCAATAGAGAACAAATACATCTATACTTAATTACTTCATGGAGTCCACCCAGGATTTTCTCTTTCAAGCCGAAGAACCAACTTCATCTCAAGTGAAAATTTGCAATTTTCATTAACAAAGGAGCCCGAGATGTTTGCTTCGAGTCGACATAAGGGAATCGCAACAAACTGTGCGTCAGTTCTCATAAATTGTTTACATATCAATATATCTATATATTTCCTATTATCAAATATTTTTTAAACAATTGAAGACAATCACAAACCGTGTAAAATGCACACAATCAACAATAAAGTCCTCAGCGGCGAGGAATTGGCCGATTTACACAAATGGCTACAGCAGTACGATATAAATACATCACGTTTGCGACGCGAATTCTCAGATGTTTTGCCCTTGGCGGAGATGATGAAACGGGATCATCCACGTTTGGTTGATTTAAACAACTTTCCGAAGCGCAGCAGCGTCCAGTTGAAGGTGGCCAATTGGGAGACGTTCAACTATAAGATATTGAACAAATTCAATTTGACATTGGGTCGTGAATTTATGGAGCTTCTCTCGACGGGCGTCCCTGGTGCTGCCGAGGTGCTACTGCATGAGATCATGAGACTGAAGAAGCGTCAACGTGTGGTGGAGACAAGGAATGCGATACTCGCACAGGAACAGATCTGGGAGGAGAACGACGAGGTGAAGACGGTGGTGGTCAACAAACAGGTGGGCGACGGCATCGTTCAGGTGCCACAAAAGATGATACTCTATTCGCTCTACGAGAAAATGGCACGCGACAATCAGGCCAAGGATCTGATCATTGAGGCCAACCAGAAGCGACTCGCCCACATGGAGAATATCATCAAAGTGAAGACCGAGCGCATCGACGAGCTGCTCATGCAGATGGGCAAGGTGCCCAACAAGCTGTGCGGCAACAGTCCACGGCTGCAGTGCTCCAGCTTCGCACGATTGCCGTCCACTTCGATGATCAGCTATGAGGCTCTGCGTAAGCGACATCCCAACACGCCAGCCTCGTCCGACTAGAAGCTTGCGGGACACGCCCACACACACACAAGCGATGAGGGCGCGTAATGGCGAGGGGGCGGGCAGCAAAATAGAAAGGAGGGGAGTACGAATGCGAATGGAAAACAGAGTGAGAATGAGAAAGGAGAAGGCGAAGGGGAAGGGGTAAAGAAAAACAGCAAGAAAATGAAAAAACAAGTGAGTTGGAAAATACTGAGTTTGTTCGGATAGTTTGATGGATCGATAAGAAAATTAAAGGTAAACCAAGACAAACAAGAGAGGGATGCAAGGAGGGGCGGCAAGGAAGAGAGAAGCCAGCGTGGCTAGTATCATGTCACACACACAAACAAACGCACGCACACACACCTAGATATATATGTATATATATTTTTGTTATCAGATCGATCCAACTGCATTTGCATATTGAGTTTTTCATAAAATAGTATTCCAATGAACACTTTCTAATAGATTTTGGCATAATACACACATCCAGTATTTCGCTTATACGAACTATCCAAATTCATACACAACATATTGAAATTGTAGTCGAAAACCATTAAATGTGTTCCAAATTTTAATAAACACGCTTTTACTACCATGTGGGAAACCAAAAGTTGAATCCGAAATTTTCGATCTGGAACCCGAAGAATGACTCCAGGAACCCTTCGGAAATTGCTTCTGGCATTCGCAAAATGAATGCTCCAGTTAGTTAGAGAAAATATTATTAATGGTAGACTCGAGCGTTTCAGTTTCCATTTGTTCCGCTTAAGGTTAATTTCTAATATTTTTGGTTAGTTCTAACAGTCTCTCAGGCTTTTCTACTATTATGCATCTTAGGTGTTCCACAACACATAACTAAGTTTCATTTCCACTAGTTCCCTTTAGAATGGTCTCGTCTAACAAGCTCTGTCTTCTCTATATGTACATTCTACATGACCCCCAACCATTCCATCACGACTTTGCAATACGTGAAGGTTTCAATTCCAATTGTTCCACTTAATATAATTGCATGGAATGTCATGTGGAGTCATTTCACTGCGAGTGTGGTATCTAGGAAGCATTTTAACAAGCTTTGTTTCACTTCCACTCGTTCCACTCGATCAGCTAATATTAAGCGATCGTGGAATAACAGTGGATTCATTTCACTTTCCGTGTTTGGACATTTTAGAAAGATTTGTTTCACTTCCACTCGTTCCACTCGATCAACTAGTATTTAGCGATCGTGGAATGACAGTGGAGTCATTTCACTGCAAGTTGATGAGCATTTTAACAAGCTTTGTTTCACTTCCGATCGTTCCACTCGATCATCTAGTATTTAGCGACCATTTTAGCAAACATGGTTTCTCTTCCACGACATTCCACCCAATAGTGTTTCCACTTCCCATCTGTTATCATCTGAGATTACGTCTAGAGCTCTAGATATCTATGCGTACCTGGCCTTCAGTAATAGACATTTCTTGATCGCTGGCCGAGCCGATGATGCTCTCTCCTGGTTGCTGTTGTTGCTATTGCCGTTGCCGTTGCCGTTGCTCTGGCGACTCCATTGCCAGCTGCTATTGCTGACAGTCAGGCTCTGGGCTAGACAGAGCAGGGCGCTGCCGCTGCCCGTGCGATACATATTCTAGATATATATTTGTTTTCGCTCCTCGGGGGGTTTGTTTACGAGTAGCTCGCATCTATCTCTGTGCGTCAAATTTGCAGCTTGATGGCTTAATTAAATTAAGTTTTATGGACTTGCTGTGGGCGTGTGTTGTGTGTTGTCCGTCTGCCCGACTAAATATATATACATATATATATATGTATGTATGTATATGTGTGTGTAAATGAGCGTTAAACGCTTTGATAAGCATTAAAATACACAGAGACAAACACAATTTAGCGCGTCAGGTCAGCCGCATGCCTGCCCAGAATGTGTCTTCAATTACATGTGCGAATTTAATACCAACGACCGTCGTTACATGCAACTAAATATATATATCTAGATATACATATACATATACATATATCTATATATATGTAGACATATTTGTGTCTACATATTCGTATTATTGGTGTCTCTGATTGACTTCGTTTTCGCTTAGCACCGCACAAGTTGAGGACGCTGACTGCGTACCCAAATGTGTTGACGGCGCAATTTTATACGAGCTGCCCGTTTGGGTCAGTGCGAGGGTTGCAGCGGCTAACTAACTAATGCATGACTCATAGACCTGGCTAAAGGCGGCTTCAAGTGGCTGGCCGAACTGCTCTCTGAACCAGCTCAACCGTGAAGGCTATGCAAGAGCTATGATAGCTCTATGCTCTTCCATCAGTTCCAAGCATATTTGAATTGGTTCCGACAGCTAAAACATAGTTCACTCGATGAAGTCTAACTCACCGTTCATATAATACAAATATAACTGAATATAACTATTATATAAAATAGTTCACATTACCAATCATTCCTAATAATTTAGAAATTGGAACTAACTCGGAACTGGTTCAGAATAGAAATCTTAAACACGTAAAAAGGCTTCCTTGAATACTTTGCTTACCTATCTTGAAGCTTAGGTATACGAAAATGAATGATATATAAAGTTCTTTCGCATCGGTTCACAAGACTAAATTGCGAATTATAAATGAACCAGTGAATCGATATGAGCTTGAGCAAAGAGTTCATTTATTGTGCAGCACTCAATTTGAGGGTCTCTTAGGGCGGCGCCACGCCCCATGTAACAACCGTCTCAATTGACACAGCCTTGCGCTTTCTCACGGCCCTGTCCCTGAATTTTTGTTTTGTTTTGCGCGAATTGCATTTCAGAAATTTAAATTTGTGCTGGGCAAGTTAAGCAAAAGACAATTGAATACGAGAGCACGTATCGATTTACAGAGTCCGGCTGGTATAACCAGCTAAAGGGCTTATGTACATATCGAGTGCACTGAAAGCAAACAGAGAACTATACTCGAAACAAACAATTGTAACCATCAATAGTGAATTGTCACAAATAGACCAATCAAGCCCCTTTATACAATGATCAATCGTCTATTGTGAAAATTTAGTCAGCAATCAATCAAAAATCAATATATAATGCACGGTGAATCACTAGCAATCACTTATCAATCATAAGTCATCAATCATATAGTATAACTAATCGTCCATCATGCATCAATCATTAATATGGAATCATCAATCATATATAGTGAACTAACAATCACCAGTCATCAATCATCAATCATCAGCTTTCAATTATAGCTCATAAATAGTGAATTATCAGTCATGAATCATCAATCATCCGTTATCACTTATCCATCAATCACCAATCTGAAATCTATAATCATCAATCATACAGTATAACTAATCGTCATGCATCAGTTACCAATCAATCATTAATATGGAATCACCAATCATAAATAGTGAACTAACAGTCACCAGTCATCAATCATCAATCGTCAGCTTTCAATTATAGCTCATATCAGTCATCAATCATCAATCATGCGTTATCACTTATCCATCAATCAGCAATCTGAAATCTATAATCATCAATCATCAATTATCTATGTTTGATCATTGATGATTATAGATTTCAGATAGCTGATTGATCAGTCCCCAGCAATCAGCAATCATTACGCATTTGTGTTTGATTTTCTATAACTCTTTCCATATATCGATAAAAATCGATACTTTAATTTTCACTTGATGATAACTTCTTGCAATTGCATTGCACCTTCTGCATTAGACAGGGTATCTACCAGTGGAACCTTCCGCGCTTAACTTTTGCCTGTCTCCTCTGGCTGCACTTTGCGCATGTTTCAACCCTTTGAAGCATAGAATTCAATTGCAATTGTCGAGAGCCTGGCAAGGGCAAAGTTTATTAACCCATTGTGTGTGCTCTTGGGTGTACGGGGGCTACAACGAATGCAATGCAAATTGCATTAGAAAGGCAACCCTGCCACAGGCCCCAACCTCAGCCCCAGCCCCAGGCCCAGGCCCAATGCATATGAGCAACAACCCCAGCAAAAAGCGAGCATAAAAATTTCATGACACGCCGCAATAAGATTTTAATAGAGCTGGCCTACGGCCCGAAGAGTTTGGGGCAGACAAATTTTGGCACGCAACTAATTAAATGGCGACAATGTTGCTCGGAGGCAATGAACTCCACCCTCCCGCCGCCAGCCTCTGTCATTCCCGCTTCCCCCTCCCCTCAGCGAACCGCCGCTGTTCCATTGTGCCGGCATAAAGTGGAACAATTTTACGCGCGCGACTTTTGATTCCAACGGAAATTCTGATAACAAATTAACGCGTCTTCTTCGGCCCCCGCCCCAAGCCACAAGTCTCTCGCACAACTTTGATTCATTACGCAATTTAGTGTTGATAGTTAAAAGTTAGCTTCCGCTTACAAAAACCGCCACGCCCCACCACCTGCACGAGCCAATTGACAAACAGTTTCGAGGAAATATTTCAACATTTACAAAGTGCGAAAGAAACAAAAAAAATTAAATAAAAATGTTCAAAAGAATTTCGTGTTAATGGAAATGTATGCCAAAATTTTCCTTTGACGTGGCTCGTAAATATTGTGGGGAAAATCTGTTGAAAATTCTATTTACTAACACAAACAACTACAACAGCAACAACAAGACCAACGGCAACGAGCCCCAATCGAATCCCGGAAACAACATTTTTGAAAGCCCGAAGAAATGAGTGTAGTTGAAAAGCTATAGACGAAGTTGAAATTCCCTAGTTTTATCTGGATGAAAATGTTATTATAATATGATATGTAGACTTAAGAAATTTTCAAACAGATTTTCTCAGATTAGTCATATATCTCTCAGTTAGGTTAGTATAAAGAATCAACTAAAGGATTTCTGAAACTATCTAATTTGATAATCCACAAGCGATCTATATAATATATCAGGGTATCTGGTGCTGTTTCATGTTTCAGCATAAGCGAATCTATTGCACAGAAAATCAAAGAGTTCTGGTTTTCCCTAATTGATTTATGGCAAATAGATCTTTGTATATCCATATATAATGCATATACCTGAGTCTGTATGAATATCATTTATATTGTTGTTTGTGCATTAACATTATGTATATTGCTTATACATCAGCCAATATCGCTTATCAGTTTGATGGCTATAAAAACAAAACAAATTGCAAAGTCCGCACGACCAAGTAGCAGACAAATAAATACCCTGTAAAGAGTTATCAAAGGAAAAATTCAAGAAGATATCAATAGAAAGCTCCAGAAATTCTTTCGATTGAATGATAGTTAATAATGAATTTAGAATTATTCGATATTCTAGATACAAATTTTCGTATATATTATTCGATGCTGCTTTTCGTTCTTTGCTGCCCGCCAATCGTAACTCTTTGCTGTTTTACAGGGAATACGTAAGTTTCCAACTGCTTTTGGGCATAATAATGCAATAAATTGATAATGAATGATGAGAAATACCAGATATTGTATAATACCGTAGAGCCGAATTGCTTCAAATCGAAGTTCAATTTTAGATTCTATTTTCAGAAATCGGACTACGTGTTAGATATACAACAACTCTTTATGAATGCACTAGAAATTTATTTAATAGACTCTCAAAATTTCATTGCAATTGCCAAAACTAAAAACTTCAATAGAACTGTAGCCTCTAGGCTTGTGATAGCTAGGGAAAGTGTGAACGAATATACCTCCCTTGGTACACGTAAACAGCGTACTTTCGTTCAGAGCAAAGATCTATACAAATTATTGGCTCGTATTCGCTTCGCTTTGCGTCAGCTCTAAAATGCACAGCCATAAATAATTGTTTGCCCCCAAAACTGAATCGCCTATACATTATATTCTTTGTTTATGCCCTGAGTCCATTAACAATTGCTAAGCAGGGTATACCGTGTGCAAACAGCGCGAGGAAAGTGTGCCCAATTACAGACATATTCTACAGCAGCATTCAAAGATGAGACGATTCAGCCCCATCCGCCTTTTTCCCTCGATAGTATTATCAAATTATCGATAACATCATCTACTAAAATTTATAGCAAGCTTTAGTTATTCTAGCATATATGGTTGATTTTAAGAGCTGCAATTTTTTGAAGTTGATTTATAGATTTTCTAATTCTCAGGTATATGAATAAATATACCCATATTTCACTCTCATCTCAATCAAACAAGGAACTCCAAAGTTATATCAATTTTGTATTATATCATTTAGGGTATCTCTTAGTCGTGTATTTACGAATGTAGCATTTTTACTTGCATTTGTACATTTATGCCTATACTATATCATATATGAAATATTTAGTAGGATTTATAGTCAATCTCTCTCTCTCTCTGCGAATTCCTCTCAGATTTGGCATACCTAATGTGTAAATAGTTTTATGATTTTCCTTTTCATACCCATATATAATATATAGTATATACATATATATATATATATTGGTATTATTTCACACTATTTGTCTAAACAAAGTTCAAAATGATTTATGGCAATTTTTTCATAACGTTTTTTTTTTTTTACTTTATAATTGTGATGATATAATTACGACAATTTACGAGTAAGAATTTCTATTTGTTTACCACTTGGTGATAATTATACCCGTTCACGATGAATGAATGAATGTGAGAGCATATACGATTCCTTCAATGCACGATCTTCCGTTTGTAAACAAAGCCAGAGATAAATAATATGGAATATATGTATGTACATAGATGGAACGCCTTTCGCTAGGTACTGCTATAATCTATCATATCATTATAAATAGTTTTTGTGTTTGCTTTCCTCTAAATATGAGCAAGTATTCTGCAGTCGGTTATGCCCTACTGCCAGCTTCCTTAATTGTTTAGCTTGGCGTACAATCCTTCATACATATATATCTAATTTTTGTATTCTGCCGGTTCACACTATTATATAATAGCAGGCATTAATTTTGAGCTGTTCTGTGGGTGAATGTGTCGAGCAGGAGGGGAAATAACACTTGCACTTTTGATAGAAACATATCATTAATGAAACAAATTGCATACCTGCAAAGAGAACAAGAAAAACGTAATTCGTTAGTTTGATCAGAAAAGAAAATATATTACATGTAGAATATGTATAGATCATATAATATAATGTATATAGTATATATAATAATATTTCAAATAAGTCTGAAGCAATTAACAGTTAAAGTTACATATAGAAATATATATATACACACATATATTTTTATGAATGTAATAAACTGAACTCTATAACCCAACTAGCTCAATCGCATTTCTGGATTTACATAGTGTCTATATAATTGTATATACATTTTAATATATAAATCTTATATTCCAAATATATACATGTATTCATATAGCTATGATATTATAATAAAATCTTTTACATTTCGGTTTAGTATCCCATACCTCTTTCGATTCGGCTCGTTTATGCACAGATCTTAAATAAGCATATACATCTTTATATATAGCTCTATAAAGACATTCATACGCTTTGATGTATCACTTCGTATCCCACATCGGCTCAAAGAATATTTATTTCTTTACTCGAAAATCCAGCTTCGGGCTGTGCTTATCTTTAAACTATCTCTCAGAAAGTTCTTCAGAGACAATTTCACGTAGAACACTCAGTTGAAATTCTGATTCTTGACTTTGCACTCACACAACAAAAAACAAAAAATAAATAAAATAAACCTAGGTAAAAAACCAGAAGATAGTACAAAAAAAAAATGATTTATGACAGCATTTTAACGTACCAAAAACGAACAAAAAAATTAATGAAAAAACATATTTAAACAATTTCTTTTGTTTTCGTTGGTTTTTATCTAGTTTTTGTTTTCGTTTTCGTTTTGTTTTTCGAATTCGCGGCAAAAGATTCGCTTGACGGCAACTGACAAACTGAAATATGTGAAATTATTAAAATCCATTCAATGGCATCTAAGTAGAAGTACACACACATAGACTGAGAGAGACAGTGAGCATGGGAGAGAGCGAGAAAGAGAGACAAACCACATTTTGCTGTCAATTGAATGTGAAGTGTGTTTCACAGATCGCAAACAGTTGAAGGCAAAATGCGAGAGCTTCTGGACGCACCGAGGGTAGGGGGATCATTACATATACGTATATATGTATGTGTATATTTATTTGTGTGTGGCATTATCAGCGTGTTTATATTAAGTGTGACACTCGTTTATGGGTGTTTTCGAGTGCAATGCATTAAATGCAAGCGATTATCTTTTAACACCCGAAGCTAATCTCAACTGCAGGGGGGAATGTATCAACCGAGAAAAAGAGACAGGCAGAGCAACCGAAAGAAAAAGAGAGAGAGAGGGGTGAGAGAGAGGGAGATCATTCGGCTGATAGTTCCATTGGATTTTAGCTCACTCGTAAACCACTCAAACAAAAGCTCTCTCAATGGCACACAAATTTTTCTACTTTTTCAGTTTCAACATAAGCTGTAAACCTCTATAAAAGTCCCTTAAGGCTTTAACTCTTCTAGCTCACTTAAGGCCTGCTCAAAGACTTGGGCTTGCACATGTCTGAAAAGTGCTCTATCAAGCTACTTTTTACCCTTTATATGAACAGAAATTGACGAGCTTTAGTTGTATTTCTTTTGAAAATGATTTTACCTTAAGATACAATGTTTAAGCACGCTTAAAGCTCGCTTCAAGCCCTTCGTACACTTAAATCCATGTGAGACACTCATTAAGCTTTAGAGCTTACATAACGGAAATCGAAATTTTATGCACATCGTAATCAATTCAACTAATCGAAAGATTTCAGGTTTAAGAACACTTAAAGCTCTTTTACCAAATTTAAGCACACACTTCACACTTCCGGCAGCGCTTCTCATCATTTCTCTTGAAGCTACAAATGAAGTCTGAATGTTGCGCCATCGAGAACTCTTCTCCAGAGGCCCCAACCAAGGCTTACGTAATAATAGTAAAGCTATACGTTTTGAAACTAAACAAGGTTAAAGATCAAAGCACAAAACTCACATTAAAAACTCATTTGCTAAAATCATTCTGCTACAGATCGTAAATAATGAGATGCTCTATGCCACATATATGTATATGTACATAGGCATGTATATATAAAAATACATATATTTATGTTTGTTATATTAGCTTAGAAAGTTTATTGCAATTCACAGCTAGTTTTAGTTTAGAAATAGTTCTATATAGAGTCGAATTTTGATATTAACACTTATGAATTCCAGATTAATAGCTGTTTTCTTATCCCTTATCTCGCACTCTTTGCTGGTGAATCAAATTAGAATTCGAATTAGACTTGAATAAAGTGATGACAGCGTTAACTATCAAGATTAAGATTCCCAAGCAGATGAGCTATGTGGGCCAAGACCAAAGTCAGTTGCATCGCATTCACTTACATAGACGATAGGGGGATTTCCATTTAGACGTCGAATACCCAGTCACTCAGTCAGCCATTGCAAATCTATTGATACTTCAATGGGTATTTGCTTTCTCATTGACAATCCCATCATAATTGCTCCAAATATTTTTGAAGCTGAAGAAGTGACAATGAAGGTGTATAGATAGCTCTTCTACAGAGCAAATCGACATCAAAAATTCAGCGTTTAAGTCAACAAATTGATTCTAGACTCATGTTAACAGTTGATTCAATATTCCAGGTCTTCATGCTACATTTTAGGAGATCTCATCATTATCTATCTCTTTCATTGCATATCTCTATAGTACTTTGAAGAATTTTCCTCAAGTTCATGCTTTAAAATTTCTTTAATTTATTTACAACGTAAACACTATTACAATTTGCAAATGTTATTCGAAACCTATAACGAACAATTGACCCATTTGAGTTAATGTTCTCAGCAAAGACAGAGAAACAAAGAAGGGGTGCGACCGAGAGAGAGAGAGAGAGAGACAGGGAGAGAGAGAAAGAGAGAGAGAGGTACTACCCCTTAAACGGGCATTGCATGTTGCCTTTCATAAAAATTTAACAACAATACAAGAAGCACTTCAAGCAGAGGGCTCGACTAAAATATACCCTGGACAAAAAAAAAAGTAATTCTGAAAAACTTTGATGATATCAGATCTGAAATCAATAATATATCTCAAAAAGTGTTAGCTGTAAACTGTTAACTGTTAACTGTGAACTGTAAGCTACTTACCCTAAAATAGTTCACAGAAGAAAAGTCTATAAGACTGGAGAAAATATATAAATCATATTTATCGCTTAAAATCGAAATCCTTCGTATACACGAAAAGAGATTTGGAGGAAAAGGACAAGAATAAATCGTAGGAGAAAATTAATCAAAGGGAATGGGAGACAAGACTTTATCGACGAGTGAATTCAGCTTAAGTATCTAATATAATACGATTAATCAACGAGCAATATGCCCTACATATTTTCTATGAGTCCAGGGTATATAAAAAAAAAAAAAAATTCCTGGAAATTCAATCAACGCGAATGCACTCGAAAAATGTATTCACAAAAACGAGTCGCCCACATGGAAATGATACTCAACATATATTATCATCATATGTATGGTATATATATATATGTATATACATAGTTGTACACTCAGAATGCACTGGACAGTATGTGGAACTGGAGAGCAAGACCAACAGTAACAGTGACAACAACAACAATGACAACAACAACACCAGCAAAGGCAACAAATTGCACGCATCTTTCAATTGAGGAGGTTAGGTTTTCCCCTTAGGGGTAACTGGGGGCACATCCATATTCATAGTAGTTATAGTAGTTATACTATATATTTAGTCGTTGTGCGTTATCAGTCCAACTGCACTTTTGAAATTGAACTGAAATCAAATTCCACGCACTTAACTGAGCTGCATAACTGTATACATTTCCTGTTCCTTATCATACATAATCTATTATTTTCAGCATAGATATATCTATGGACTTTATTGCACGTACATAATTCAAAAGCCTTAAGCGTTACTTACGGGTAACCTGGTAACTGAGTTTCCTTTAAGCATACACAGGATTGTCTTTACATCAGTTTTCATGGAAATCGAAATGAACTTAAACATGATATGATATGATATGATGATTTGTAGCATCAAACTAGAAAGGTAATTCCACACAAAGAATGGTTTGAGCTTAGACATAGCTATAGAAGATATGAGCTTGAGAGCCTAAGACCCCAAAATGCAATATATCATTTTGGAATCTGAAGTCCGCAACTTGGGATCTTTGGAAGTGGATATCATCAAAGCTCTATGTTGTATATCAATGAGGTACTCAAAAATCTACTGTTCCTACATATGTATATCTATAGCTGAATAGAATGGCATAATAGTATTACTCATTGGTGACATTTTCATAAATTTTCACTTCCTCTTTCTTAGATTGAAGCTAAGATCTAAGGAAGAGGAAGTGGAAATTTATGAAAATATCATCAATGAGTAATACTATCACGACTAGCTGCAATTCTATCCTGTTTCATCTAAAGTTTCCTTGTACATATAATACCAATTCGTTAAGTTTATATATGATGACTCTCCTCAAATATAATTTCCATGTTGTTTGCAAATATTTTACGCAAATATTTCTCTAATTGCTTATACACATTATATGTCTATATACTTATGTGTATACTTTGGCATACATTGGCAATAGAAAATTATAAATAAAGCGTTGGCTCTTGTGACGTCACGAGATACGATAATTATAAAGAAATTCCATTGTTTTTAGATGGCAACTCAACTTTGGCAACGGCAATTGCAGTCCAACAGCCAAATACGCCGCGTAGAGCCAAATATGTCTAGGGCATTATGTCGTTGGCGTTTGCACAATTATACATAGATATGTATATACATATCTAACTATCAGTCTAGAAATCGGTAGGGTTAGCCATTTGTCAATCGCTCAATCGCTCAGTGCGGACATTCGCTGCATGCAAATCGGAACTCGAGAAGCTCTCAATTGAAATCGATCCGATCTGACAAAGTAAAAGTCCGGCGACAACAATAAGTGAAAGTGTTTAAGCTGAGTATGCCCAACTGGCAGATAGCCTCTGCTAATTATGGATCTATATATATATATTCATGACCATATACACATAGCGTAAATTAAGTGTTTCGAAATGGTACGATACCCATCGTATGTCATAGAGATATAAATAAGATAAAGCATAGCTGCAGCTCTAAGGGAATCGCAAGGTAAATGTTTTATATATCGATATTTATCGATGATAATATATATGAGAAAATTCTATACGGCTGCAGCAATCCCAGCCAGCCTCTTTCCACCTACAATATATCTCTCTCGAACAAGGGCTTAACATATGCAATTACAGGGTATATCAAATGCAAATCGATGCTTGACATTGGCTATCCATATTCTAAAAGACAGCGTTGCTCAGGGTCTTCTTATTTATTCTTCTTCTTCTTCTTTTTCTCAAGCTATTTTATTGGCAGTCGATTTGGAGGCGAGGGCGTTGGCGTAGCGGACGTAGCATCCGGCCTGATTTGTTGTTGCAGGTAATTGAAAAGCTTGGCCTTGACTTCTCTGTCTTCTTCATATGTGTAAAAAATCAATGCGAGCTGCGATGTAAAATGACTGCAACGCATGACATGCCTCAATGTCAATATAGACCAAGAGCACATTCAGGCCTAAAGTACCAAATGACACGAAAACTCACGTAAAGCTGACAGAGTTCCATGAATGAATGAATATTTTCCGATTAATTCTGATAAATCCAGTCAAACCTATATCAATTTAGCTCTAATTTGCATGAGCGCAAGCTTTGAACAGATTAGATTAGAGTAATTAGCTTAAGTTATAAGCCATAAAGATTCAGTTTTTCATCAGAGCCAGTCTTTCCCATACTATCAATGTAGTCAAAGCTCTATGGAAAATATCTAAGCCTGGAATCTTGTGTGGGTAGATATGAGCTCCCGTACTTAACAAGAAACATTTGGGATCAGTCTGAGTCAGTGTGAGTCAGTGTGAGTCTTTGGCAGGTTTTCGAGGAGAATATTCAACATAAGTTTCTAATCATATTTTACTTTAAATATTATCAAAATTTTACCACTTTGGATTAAGCTTTATGGTAATTTAAGAGCTCTAAGACTAAGCAGCTGAGACAATTGCAGATCTCTCTGGAGAGCTTTGAGAAGACGGCTTACCTGTTCACAGCTTGGCTGATATATTGTATCTGTGCATCATGATTGAGCAGCAGGACAACGGGCGTGGGCAGGAACTCATCCAGGATGTGATTGTGCGCCTGCGCCTTGCTCAGCATGGTGATGGCTGTGGCTGAGGAGCAGGAGGATGTTGTCGATGTGGACGAGGCGTTCGATGACACCGGCGAGGGCATCGGTGTGATCGAGGGCGTGGCTATCGATAGCTTTGACGAATTCTTGTTCGAACCAAAGCTGCGGCGTATCGATTGTAGACTCTGACGCAAGAACGATTCGCGCTTGATGTTGCCGCTGCGACGTTTCGATGCCGGCGGCTCGATAATGCACAGCGCCGACGCCTCAAAGTGCACCTTGCCGGGCAGCGATTGTGGGCGTGGCAGGTGTAAGCCATGCGCCGCTGGTGAGTGCTTGAGCAGCTCCTCATACTCGTGCGGATTGCGACGCAGCAGCTGCGCCTCCTGCTCGCTAATGAACTGCGGATCCTGCGGATCCTGTGGATCCTGTTGATCCTCCTCCCGCTGTTTCTTTCCATTTTTGATTGCCTTCGTTTTCGGCTTTGTGTTTTGGGACTTCTTCGTGCGCGTCTTCTTGGTGGGCTGCTCATCGGCAACCAGCATCAAGGAGGCGATATCCGGAAAGGGTTCCATATCAGGCGATTGCAAACGCTTATTATATAGCCCATGGTTATTGTTATTGTTATTATTGTTGTTGTTTCTATTACTATTATTGTTATTGTTTCTTTCGATGAAACTGTAGGATTTGATGAGAAACAGATTCGATTTGTTTTTCTTCGCCTTTAGCTGCTGCAGAGTGCTCTCCGGCTCCATCGATGAATCGACTTTCCCATTGCTGTTGACCTCCTCGTCGTTGATTGTGGCCATTGTCTGAGTTACTTATTTTGTTTGTTTTTTCTTCTTCTACTACTTTTATTTTGCTCTTCTTCTTGTTTCAATATTCTTTTTTGTTAGTTTTTCTTTTTTTTTTTTGCTATTTTTTGCTTGGTTTATTGTTCTAGTTGGTGCGTGTTTTCACTATTTAACAACAACATCTTTTCGATCAGATCTCTCTGCATCTGCCTCTGTCTCCCTCTCTCCCTCGCACACTCTCTTCGACTGCTGAAAGAAGGGCAGAGCTAAAGTTATTTTTATGCCACTGCGTTGACATTGGCGGAGCGGAGCGGAGCGAAGTGAGAGCGCTTCAGGCACTGGGAGGTCGATAAACTATCAAACACACACACACACACACACGCACGCACACAAATATTGTTGAATACCTGTGCGTGTATTGGTGAGCTATTGAAAGCTTCCCTTAGACAAAATGCAGCCGTCTGAGCATCTCTCGTTTGTATTGTTGTTGCTTTTATAGTTTTACTTAAGTAAGCGAATCTTTGTAATGATCTTGATTGAAAGAACTAGTTTAGAGATCAGTAAACAAGTGCAGTTCAGTTGCTTATAAAGGTAACTACGTGCGTTGCATTAAGATGTGTAGCTACGGATCAACAGATCTACTGATCAATTGAACTGAACGGATTGTTGAACTAATTCCACAAATGGAAATAGTATTTGAATGACTATTTATCATAAGAACTTAATCGTTATGTTAACCTCATAATAATCTATATTCTTCTTTTGTCTCTATAATATGATAGATAGATACTCTTCTATAAAATTATGTTAAATTCATAGTAAATTGTCTATGAATATATCGTTCCATATATCATAAACCATGATAATATTATATAACTGCTCTTTTAGTTTTACTTCTGCCTGTATTTAAATATAGAATCTTTAAAAAAGTTTCCAATATTATAAAAAACAACTTTTTCCAAATATATGCGAACGGAAATGTAATTAAATAAGAATTTTACGCTCTACTGAAGTATAACAAATTAGATCTATATATTAGTCAGAGTAAAACGTTATATAAAATATTTAAGCTACTTGTTTTGATGGGATTACTCTATTGTTAGGTATTTCTGCAAGGACTGCAAATGTTACATAACTGAAAATTGGTTTTAGATCTATGTATCCGCAAATATTTCCATCTCATTGTGAATTGACAGCTTTTAACCAATTGAGTGCTAATCTGTATTGGTTTACAGTTAGCATATATTAAGTTGAAAATTTGTAATGTGCGATTCAACATTATCATAGATCTCTTAATTAAACGAACAAAATTAATTAAACTGTCGCTGCTAATTTTTCATATAGTTAGCACCGTTCGCTCCAAATGTTAAAATATGCTTTTTATATTTATTGTTGACAAAGAACTCGCACGAATGCCAGCTGATAATTATTTGAAATTTCAATCATGATTATTATAGATTTAGATAATAAATATATAAATATATATAGTAGGAAACCGGGCTTCTTTTTGCGTAATGCTACTGCAGATGCTCGCGCTCTTTCTAACATCAGCTGTTGCCGCATGTCCATGCCAGCGCATGTGTGTGTGTGTGTTGGTTTTCTTTTCGCTGCAAAAGTTCTTATTGTCATATGTACTACAATAGATGGCGCCACACAGCAGCCGCCCGGCATACGACAATTGTCTGCCACACAGGCCCACACACATATACATTCTCACATTCTTACATATGTACATTCTCTCTCCACCATTCACACATACGCACACGCTCTCACTTCGCCTCGTTCGAATTGTTGTTTTGGTCTGGCCAGCAGGTCTTTTGCTCTCACGCTCTGCCTCTCTCAGCTGTGCGCGTGTATTTGCTTTACCGCTTCTTCTTCGCCTTGCTGCTTCTGCCGCCGCTGTTGTTGTTCTTGTTGTGGAGTACAATTCTTTTTCTTATTTTTTTTGAATTGGCGTTTTTTTGTTTTGCTTTTCTCGTCTTTTTTGCATTTATTTTTGGCCACGACACACGGCCAACAATTTCCGTCACTTTTTTTCTTTTAATGATGTCACTTGGCCGAACTCCCCGTCTACGATGATGTCTACGGCTGTGTTTGCCGCTAACCGTGTAGCCCGTTGTTTTACGAAATATGTTTGATCGACGTTGTTATTGTTCTTGTGCGTATTTCGCTTTGTTGTTAACGCCAAACTAATTCGCCGCAATTCAATAAACATTTACTCTAGAATGGACTTTTTATTTGTTGATAAACTTTATTGTTGTGCACGCGATAGCAAACAAAAACAAACCAAAGGCACTTCACACTCAAAAAAAATGAACTAACGAATTTTTTCAAAAGAATACAAAAAAAAACACAAAATGTGGAAAAGCGGCCACCGCTCGCTACTGCTGCTTAAAAAAGCGCTCTCTCACTCGCTCTCCCGCTCACTGACTGCCCGTCTGCGTTGTCGTCCGCTTTCGCACTGAATTTCAAATTGAAGTGCCGTTGCGGCCAGACCCAACCAACGTCCAGCCAGGCAGCCAGCAGCAGAAGCCGCAGCAGCAGCAGCAGCAGCGACAGCGGCCCTACATCAACAATATCTGAGACGAAGCGAAGCGACGCGGCGAACAGACAAACGACGACGACGGCGATGGCGACGGCGAATTGTGGCCGCATGCATGCATACGCTTATGTCCATGTGTTCATATGGGTGTGTGTTTGTATAATAAACTTCTTCCCTGCTTATCATACTGCGTTGCGTTGGCGTCAGCGCCGACGTAGCCGTTGGCTTCACTTATTATTGTTATTGTTGTAAAGAAATTTAACAATGAAATGAGAGAAGCTGAAGAAGCCGCAGCAGCAGAAGACAAAAAGCTGTGCGCTCTCTCTCTCTCCTTGGTTTTCTACCTCTCTGGCGCTGGTTCTCGTTCGCTTATGCTTCAACTAAGGAGCCACAAGCAGCTGATGCTAGCAGATCCGCAGCTGAGATTTAACTATTCACCGTTAAGCGCTCATTGCTTTGACTCGCCTTTCGCTTGCCAATTGATTTTGCTGTTGTTGTCTTCTATTTTTTGTTCACTGCTGACCCTAAAACCATTCAACAATACCAACACACACACGTGCACAGAGACGTGCGCTTTTTTCTTTCCCTTTGACTGGATGATTTGTGATTTTTCGCTTGCGTTGTGCAAAAATATTGAGCGGCGAAAAATACGTAGCTAAAACTAACAAATATGTATACGAAATGACAATGGAGCAATATATTAAAAGCAAAAAAAAAAGTAGTTTGGCGACACCTCACGCCGGCTTCCCTTCCTAATCAACTGCTTGCTATCGTACATTGGATACATGCCCCACCCCTCAAAATGTTCTTTAGTCTTAATTGAACTCTTACCGTATTATTTTTCGATAAAATTTTAGAGATAAGTCGCCAAGTGTTTATTGATATGGCAACGCTATTGTTAATTGCAATACTACTATTTAATTCCCCTTTCTCTCTCTCTCTCTCTCTCTCTCTCCCTCTATCTCTGACGCACACACACAGTTCAGGCGCCAGTCATGGTCACCCTACAGATGAGCTATGCGAAAACCGCAACCGACTAAAAGCAAAAAATAAAAAAATAATAATAAACAAGGGCAACCTTCCACTCTATCTAACACTCGATCTGTTGTGGCCCATTATACAATTACCCTATATTTGTAAGAGTTAGCATAGGGTGTTACAAACTGAAGTGGACTCATTGATCAATCAATCCTAGAGACTAAGAAATGCTAAGGCTAGGAGATGCTTCTGTTATTATACAAAAATCTGACAGTACTATGTATGATACTGGATTTGTTCTAATATATTTTTGCTCTTTTTTTTTTGTTTCCCCATGAGCTCTGTTATCTTTTTCTCAATTTATTAAATTTTTCTCTTATTATCTGATAATCTCTTCTCTTTCTTCTATGATTAATTCCGTTCTCTGCTCTACTTGTCTCTTCTTCCTTTCGCTTCTGCTAGAGTTTCGCTTTAAATTGATGAAATTTCAATATAAAGGGTAACTTCGAGTGCAGCATTCATCACTAAAGCCCTCTAGACTACTATTATTATTTTATGTGGGGCGTCACTTTCATGGGGCGTTTTGTTTTGCTAATAGTCTCATTAACAGATATGATATCGTATCTGCGAATGGGTCCATGGCTCCATTCAGCGGGAAATGACTGCGAAGATGGGAAAAACTCAACGCAAAAGAGAAATCGTTCAAAGTCGAGGAAAAATTGTCTTGACTCATTGCATTTACCGCTGTTTCTAGGGCCAACACAAGTCTATATAGAAATTAAAAAATAAAGACAAAACGTCACAATTGATAGCGAAATTGCGTAAGATCCAAGTGAAACATAATCAAAATATACATATATATGTGTATATCTGTATATCATATGCCTGTTTATAGAAACAATTATAGCGCAGAAATTAAAATTAATCTTTGCACCTTCTCGAAATGCCAAATGACTAATGATTTCCAGGTGTTCACCATTTGTGCAGATATGACAGCCAAATATGCTGTACACCTGGTCTAATGAACTAAGTAAATTATGATAGGAACTTGTATGCATATACCCATGTATAGTATATGCCCTATCTAACCATATATCTACCCATCGATATGAATACGTCAAGACCTATGCACAGGTGGCCTGATATACGACGACCTAGCAAACATCAGTTATATTATTCGTAATACTAATTGCCAAGCCCGGAGAAGCACCTCACGGCCTTTTCATGACTAATAATGGGTCTACATCGTATCTCTGGTGTATTGGTGTAGTATTCCAAGAAATTTTAAGGGGCTTACCCATTAATTTTAATTGATATTCTTCTCTACTACATATTGCTCATATTCCTTATGTTATATATCTTCCTTCCGATTTGAAGTATACTCCAAAAGAAAAAGTAAAACTTTGTACTTCGCCTAGCTATTTGCATAATTTTAAACTACCTCAAGTCTCTATACATTTTATGTTTTCTGAGTAAACACTTCCCAAACATATACTCTATATACGATCTTAATGGACCAAAATTAGGTTTCCTTTGAAGATGACCGACCCGAAAACTTAAACGATTCACTTTAATGCGCAACCAAAATATTTTGACACAATTTGCATAGATTTATGACGAAAATATACTTAGAACATATTAAAAGACATTTGCATATACATACATATATTATTAAATATGTATATACAATATTAAGTTGTATAGGGCGACAAAAAAAAATCTGGGATCGTGCTATCAGTCACGACTATACAAACGGATGAGTGAGACGAGATGACAAAAGAGTTTTAATCAAAAGATCTCGCTCTTTGGCTCTAGAATTGACGCAGGCAGATCGGAGCTACATATATATATATGTATATGTATATGTATATGTATATATTTATATATGTATATGTATATGAGTATTATCTCGGTACGGTGGGTCTAATAAATCACAGCACGACGTTTACTTAAACAATATGTCCGATAATGTCCCACACCTCACACATACACACGCCTTCTCCTGATAATCCAGAACTAGTTCACACCGATCTCCACCTATTCATCCATCTCTCTCTCTCTCTCTTTTTGTATTCACATCATATATATAAGTATATAATATATAATAATCTATGATCCATGTGGACATTCAACTTATTGATTTGCCATATCTGATCATATAGCTGATCAGCTTTCGACACAGCGAAATCGTTTCAGTCAGTATCTGAGCAAAGGTGAAGATCACGCTTAATGGATTCCAAAAATATACGTTCTTAAAATTCCATTCAAATTACGAATCTTTTTATAAACATTGCCGAATGATGCTTAGTAATATTGTAGAACTCAAGTGAAACCCATTTTTAGTAAGGTTAAACTAATTGTACTCAGAGCTATCGTTTTATTTTGCAAGAAATATTTCTTAATTAGTTCTATTAGTTAGGGCTTACCTGGAATGTTTCCGTTTCGCATTGTCGCCTAGCGAACCTGTTGTGGCAAGTTGCGTTAATCTGCAAGGAAGCAAAAAAAGCTGATGTTTGAAAGAAGAAAATAGTTGGGACATCCAAGCTATAGCAAGTGCAATTATTGCAAGCTAAGCTCTTACCCAAAGAAGAAGCACTATAAATTATAAATCAAGAGGATATGCAGCAAATGTCAGCTCAAGAGCTCAACTATTTTACGAGTTACGATAGTTAGCTACAAGTAGATGTTTCTTGCTGCATTTCAAATTTTGAATAAATAACGGTCTGCTCTAACATCTTACCCACCACGCTGTCGTGCTGGTGCATTTGCAAACCTTGACATGGACTCAGGCATAAGCCAAAGGTTATACTTTCCACTTTCATAACTCAAAATTACACAATCAAAAGGAAGCCCCAAAATGCGTGTGTGTGTGTATATATATGTGTGTGTGTGTCCTCTCTCTTTCGCTTGCATACCCGCAGCAGCATTTAGAAATGAATAAAAACAAACACAGCAAAAAGTGAGAGCAAACAATGTTGTTCGAGCGAATTCAGCGGGCGACCCGCCCTCTTAACGCATAGGCTTGCCGCAAAAGCCGACACTCACACATATACACACACACACGCACACACAAACACGCAGTCATTGCCGCCAGGGCGCGCTCACCTTGATTTTGCGTTTGCACACAGATTTTTGCCAAATTTTCGCAAGAGTTTTACATGCTGTTGCGTATGGTAAAAGTTTTCCCAACACTTTTTGCACTTTTTGTGAATTGTTGTTGCTGATTAATGTGCGTGTGCTTTAACTTTTACTTTCGCTGCTCGCGGCGAATTCGCGTATTGCGGATTTCTCAGTTGCGTGTTCTGGCGAAACAAATAATTTGCTGTTGTAGTTTGTTATTATTGAATATTGCTTTTTCTTTTATTATTTAGTAAAGCGAATATTTTTGGCAAAGCCCTGAGAAGTACCGTTAACGACACGACGCGCTCAGCACTCGCTAAATATATAAACTGAAGCCTTCTCTGCCGCTGTTTCAGCTCTTCTGTGTGTTGTGCGGCATTCACAGCAGCAGTAGCAGCAGCACTAGTACCGTTAGCAAAGCAGCTGTGCGGCTGGGTGGTGGGTTTGTGCGGGCGCAAGCCACCACCAAATTGAAGCGCACACACAGTGGAACAAATTAGCACTTGTATGTGGCAAGCGCTCAATTTGGCGAATATGCGGCGAATTGCAAGCTTGCACGCTCCTCTATGAATGTATGGACATGTATCCTGTGTGCTGCAGAATGTGCTTAGTTGATTTCTAAAAACAATTTATAGCTCTAAGCGCTGCTCAAATGCACAAATTACCCCATTGTAGTCCAAAGCAGGCATTAGGCAGCTTAGAAGACACTGAGAGAACGAACGAGCAAGAGAGAGAGAGAGGTATGAAGAGAGCGTGTATGCAAATATAAATTGTCAATGCAAATACACATGTAAAATTACATACATACATATGTATGTACGTGTGTGTATCCTATATAAGGGCCCTAGGCATGGACAAGCTCTGCACAGATGATTCTGTTTGCTGCTGATTAGCTTTGCATTGCTCTCTCGCGGGAGAGCAGTTTGCGCATGCACACACACACACACATGTATGTACATATGTACACACATGCACCATCATAGCAATTTATGTTTGCGAGTTTAGATGATTATGTCGACAACAGTGTTGAACAGCACGGTTATTTCCCGACAAATCTGGCTTTTTATTGAAGTGTTATTGTGCTTGATCTAAACAGAAAGAGCTAGATTCTTTTCTCTCATATCGTGTGAGTAGATACATATAAGTATGTGTAGATTATCTAAATGACAGAATACACCAAGCACATACACATGTGTGTGTGTGTGGCTGCATTTGTTTAGGTAATTAAAAGCCTTTTAGTATCTTTTAATTATGATAGAAGCAAAATACCTCACGTGACGTTAGCTAGATAAATAGCCACCATAATAATATCTAATTTGTTTTGCGCGGCCCGGTGCTGGCGTGACACGCATGCATCACTAGCCACATGTCGGCAGAATCCGTAACAAGAGCGAAGGAGAAGAAACTAAAGGTCAAGCTCATTAGGCGGAGCTGATGTAAGTGCCGCAGCGCCATCTTACGGCTGCCAAACGCAGCTAGTCAGCTCTTTGCCCCCATCTCTTTGCTCTCTTTGCTCTCTCTCTCTGTCTTACTGTGTGCGTGTGTGTGCATTTGTTTATTGGACAAACGAAAACAAAACACAAAACTCATGCAATAAATTAATTGGCAACGAGGGGCAGCCGTCACGCCAAAAAATGTGCCCAGCTGATAGATAAACAAAACGAAAACATACAAATGTTTGTAAATGTTAAGCAAATACATACCAATTCCAAAATGCGCAACAATAACAAATTACAAGTAAAATCATTTAGTGCGCTGACCTTGCGAGTAGAGAGAGGGAGAGAGAGAGAGAGATAGTAAGAGGGAGCGAATTGGAGCGCAGCGAAAGAAATGGCTGCGCAACACGCCACCCAAACCCAAATATTCGCTGCGATCTGCAAAACTCGCCGCGCAATTGCACAACGCTGCGCAGCTGTTGCTGCCGCTGCGAAACACTTACCGTTCCTCGCTGGCGCTGAAGCCAACCGATGCGGTTGTCACTTTAAGCGTCTGTCGCAGCAGCGAGCCTAGAACGCTGCGCGTCGCCGTTGGCTTCTTACTATTACTACTGCTGTGGCTGCTGTTGCGGCTGTTGCTGGGATCGGTGTTGCAGCGCGGCCGAAAGATCTCATTGAGCTGTGTGGGGCGTGGCGGGCGCTTGTGCAGCGGCTGTGGCGAGGCCAATGGCGATAAATCTGCCGCATCCTGTGATGGCGTCAACGAATTCGCCCGACCACGGCGATTAGGCGAAGCCGAGCGACTGGTCAGTCGCTGTGCGGCGTTGCTGCTGCTGCTGCTGTTGCTGCTGCTTTGAGCAGTTGGAGTGAGGTAGCTCATTTTATTGACCAAACGCTGCGTACCGTTAGTTTTGTGTGTGTGTTTTTCTTTTAATATAATTATTATTATTATTTTATTTTGTTGACTCTGGATTTGCGTAAGCAATCAAATCGTACGCTTTGCCGTAAGCACGGCTGCTCAGCGAATGGCGGCCGCAGCGGCAAACTGTTTGGATGCCTCCTCACTGATGTTGCATGCCAAAATGCGGCAAGGTGAACAAAATAGAATGGAAAACAGCAATAGCAACAACAACAACAAACCAGAGAAAAAAACACTATATTGGCCCCCGCTTTCAGTGCTGACATTATCGAATTGACAAAAGAATTGGCAAACGAAATGGCCGTAAAAAACAGACAACAACAGCAAAGCAGAGCGAAAAGTGTGAAGGCGACACGCTGAAAGGCAAACCATACAGAAATAAACATGAAAAGGCAATCGCCGACGTCGAAGTCGACCGCGCGACTGCTTTGACATAACCGTTATGCAGGCACTCAAAGTACAGTCAGATAACGTTACAACTTGTTGGCGAATCGGAAAAGGAAATTAACAAATTCTGATTGAGTACAAAACGAGGAAGCTAAGAAGAGCAAATTAAATAAGTTTTAGAAATGGGCTTTGCTCCTAAAGAAAAGCACAAAGAAAACTTCATTTTAGTTGGTATTTCCAATGTGTTGAGATGAGTGTAAAGCTTATTAATAGATATAGTATTTAGAATAGTAAATATTTGTATTTGTATATGAATGTGTAAGTACAATATATCACCTATCTATCTATTTTTTAAACTATCGTCAGAATCGTTGATAGCCAAGCGTGGAAAGTACACTAAGCATTTTACATCATCTATTTTGACTAGTTTTATACATGTACTTCGAATCCTTTTTTACGTAAATTTATTATGTTATTTCTGCGAGCTTTTAAGTAGCAGCCATTGGGTAAGTCCATCCAACGTCGACGTTACAAACATTTCTCTTATGTTGTTTGTTTATTACGAAGAATGGATTCATAGATGGATTTTACTATATAAAATGGATCGCTGGCTGAACGAAAATAAAACACTGCTGAGATTTGGTCAAAGTCTGGGTGAGTCCCGTGAGTTGGGCAATCGCGATTCTCTCAGTAGGTTTCTCAAGCTGTTTTCAAGCGCCACAATGCAGCTCTTTAAGTGGATCTTAGGCAATTGTTGCAGCTACGTTGATCCCGAGAATATTCTGCATGCTGAGTGAAAACTAAACAACTTGAGTATGATGTGACCACATGATGTAAAATATATATATTAATTTTTTAGATATAAAATTGAACTGAAAGTAATCTATACTAAAGCTGGTATATTCTTATATGTAAGAGTTCGTCTCGAGAGAGCTTCAATATTTCTCTTCAGTGGAATTTTTATATAATTTTCGTAATAGGCAGATGGAGGCAGAGCAGAGTCTAACAAGCTGAAATATCAAAAGAAAAGAAACGAGAAAAAACTTTGAATAATAATAATATTAATAATAAAACACGGAATAATCCATAGAAGATCAGTCAGTGGGTATTTCCCACTTAAAGACTTACGTGCTTTTAGATAGTTTCCAGTTCCTCTAACAAAATAAATTAATTTTTTTCTTATTACTTTTGAAATTGTTCGTTTTATTTGATTGTTGTATTTGTTTTTTTTTTCTTGTTTAATTTTGTGCTAGTTTGTTATATTTTGCAGACTCTGCAGTTCGTTAGTATTATATAATATCATATCATGTCATATTATATCATGTCATAGATCAATGTAATTCTTAATTGTTCACATTCATAGATTCAGTTAGTTCAATAAACATTTCTCATAGTAATTTTGTACTCAACCATCAAGACAAAAGAATAACCGAAACAACAATTTTTTGTATTCATATATGTATGTATATATATAATTTGTTCAATATTATATTGTATTATTTCAAATATTCATCGAGTATCATTATCATATATATATCATGTATTTTTAACTTTTGTGCTTTGCTTGTAATTGAAATTGAGAATTTGCTAAGGTTTATGCAAACTATGAAATCTTGTTATTTATTCTTAATTCTTGTTTTGTTTTGTTAAGTGTTAAGAGCTGTATGTGTATGTGTATATATGTATATGCATATGTATTTTTGTATATAGGTATGTATGAGAGCCTTGAATCTTTTTCTTTTTCAAATTATATCACGAAATGTGTCTAAAGCCAAAATAAAATAAAGTAAAAATAATTATGCTAAAACTTTTGACTAAACAAAATTACGGAGTTACCAATTTCATAATGTGTCGAATTAAGACACTTTCGTATACCAATTTGTAGATACATATATATCTATTTGGAGTATTTGTGGAAAAAAAATAATACTAATAAAAAACTGCAATATCAAGATATATCAATTGATTTAAGGCTGAACTGCGATCTGGACTTGAGGCATTGTAACTATGTGTATAAGTTTTGAAATGTTGATCAAACTGAATACAGCTCTGAATAGGCGATATACGATATACGATATACGATTTATAAACTTTATTTAGTTTTTGTTTTCCATAATATTTAAGTATCGATCAGATGCTGATACATTTGGTAAAAATTGATCGATTATCTATCACATAGAATACATCTAATAAAATGAAAATCAGCGAAGGGATGGGGGCTGGGTGAGGGTCTGGACTAATTAAATAAATATTATATCGAAAATACATGTATGAATGTATATGGATACGTGTGCCTATGGAGAGAAACGTATTCCAACTCAAGTTTAGGTCTTATATAGCTAAAGAGTCAAATATCACAACATCACATATACATAAGTACATATATATATATAATATATACATATATATTATTGGGTAACTAAGCGTTGGTCAGCTCTTTAATCTTCACTTTACTTTTTTTTCAGACTTGGCCTTCTACATAACTCTTTCTCTCTCTCTCTCGCTATTTCATGTGCTCAGGAACTTAAAAGTGTTGAATTCTATTTTATATTGTATTTTAATTATTTAATTTCCTATATGTGAAAATGCCATAGAAAATAGTAGAAAAACTTGCAAAAATCTTCAAATACTTGTTGTTAAACAATGAAAAAAAAAAAAAAAAAAAAATGGATTTGACTATTACATGTTAGATATATATGATATTATAGCTGTTAAGTATTTTCGATTCTTTTATATTTATATATATGTATATTTAAATATACTTGATAGCTATGGGTTATTGTATATTTTGGGGGGGCGACGAGCCTCTAGAAAAAAAGAAAAAATTTTACAACAACCTTTCAACAATATTTCCTGCATTCCATTTCAATTGTGCTCTATCTCTCTTCGTCTTCATTTTCTTCCTCCACAAAACATTTAAACATTTAATAATATTTGATTTTTTTTAACTTTGGTTTTCATACTTTAGACAACTAACTTGGAGATCTCTCGTTGATATGATACACAAGAAGAAAACTAAATATAAAATTTGATCAATTATCTTCAAGTCGTTATTATATAGTCAAGATCTTTTCAATTAGTTAGTCTTTAGCATTTGATTAACTTTTATTTAGCTAATTTCGTATTTATTTATCTCTTTGGATTTTTTTGTTGAGATCTAAGTTTTCTAAAAAGTCGAGAATTGGAGATCTTATTGGGGATTGTATTTCAGTTTTATTTATTTAGAATATTCGTCTCGGCTTTACGTATTTAGATTTTACTTTATTATTATTATATATTTTATAATTGGATTTCTAGTTTCCTATATAAAGTATTTATTTAGTTGTGCATTTTGTAGATTTGAAGTCACAATCGAAGATCAACTATATAGAGAGTATACGTAAAGTTCCATTTGATTTTGGTTACGATCTATATAAATAATACACTTGCAGAGAGTTTGAGAATTTTTGTAGATATGGTATATGGCGTAGATAGTATATATATGTATATATAGCTGTGATAGGTCCTTTAAAGATATCATAGGGGAAAAATTGTTCTTGTGTTATTTTCTAAATAAATTCATTCGGAATCGGACGGAACCCTAGTCTGAAAATTACGAGTTTTCTTTTCTTAATATACCTTGAAGTACGATATCTATGAGGTCCTACATTAAATCCAGATGGAACTATGGAAAGTTAAGATATTTTGAAATACGAACTATGTATGATTGATGACCAAGTACCAAAGGCCGATTAAAATTCTTAGAAGTCATCTATTTAGTTCAATATAAGTTCAAGTTCGGTGTCAGATTAGGGAATTACTATATCTCATATAGAGAGAATCAATCGAATTGCAATTATAGCATATGTATGCATCTGCAAGGGTATTAGCTCTTCGATCAGCCGAAGCTAGTTCATTTCTGTCCTTTAACAATCTATATATGTATATATTATAATATATGACTGGGGTATTGTGAATACCCTGTAAACTCTATGCGAATTGGTTGGCTAAACATTTGCACTTTTCAAATATTTGCAACAATGAATCTGATATTTGAATTTATTCTCTCAGTGTAGCAGAGCGCCGATTAACTATGACAGTCAGATTAACATGCAGTTAATTTACTTAGTTAGAATTTTGTGATTTTCCTTTTGATTTGAGTTCAGTTTACAATTTTATTTCTCTTTTTGCTCGGTGATTTTTGGGGCTATATCTTATTGGTTTTTTTCGGTCTATTGGCAGCTAATAGTTGGGGCAGAACACTTCAAAGCGCCCCAATTTAGGCGTAACTAAAACACAAATAAATTGATCGACTAGCAGCTACCCTGCAATGTATATTGCGCATCTAACTGTAGAGTTTTTTCAATGCTTACAAATTTAAGATGTCGAATCTTCTTTCTTTTTCTAAATTCTGCAGGGTATGCTCGACTGGCCTATGCCCTGTAATATTACATATAGCACGTGACTGTATCTCTTTAATATTAACAATAAAAGTGCTTCACTTAAATTGAGTATTACATAATCTTCGTCACAATTACAGGGTATGCTCGACTAGCAGATACCATATAGTTAAATTGCACATTGAATGTAGATGCTACGGCTCAAATATCGTAGTTCAACTTAAATTGAGTAAATATCTTAGTTACCCTGTAATGAACATAAAACACGTCAAGTTCAGAGTCTTTAATAGGTACAATTAACGATTTTGACTTCAATCATTTGATTTCTTCTGCACAATCACAGAGTGTGCCTGACTCAGAGATACCCTGTTATAATTAAAATACTAAATATACTTCAGCAGAGTATTAAAATTCTTATAATCAAACAAGATTTGCTCATAACTTTTTCCTAATAGTAGCAATGCTCGACTTGCAAATACCCTGCATTCAAATGGGAGCACAACACCTCGCACATATAACAAATAATATTGGACTTAAACTAGGCAATTTGAATTATTTCAGAATTACAGGGTATGCTTAGCAGCTGCAACTTAGTTGACAAAAAAAAAAGTTAAAACAATGCTAGGCTTTGTAAAAGGCAGACAATAGGCATAATAATAATAATAGTAATAATAATATTAATAAGCTTGCTAATCCTATATACAGACATAAAGCTACTCTTTATAGGGTATAGCTAGGGCTAGCAATGCCCTACAACTAGACTAGACTTTGGACTAGATTTCGCATGGTCGATCCGAATCGCTTACAAATTAGTTTGGGCTGCGCTGGCCGCTGAATTGGCCGAATTGGCGGTGGCAGCCACCGACCCACCCACTGCACCACTGCTGGAGACGGGCGAAGTACCGGCCGTCGAGTGGCCACCCACCGCAGCACCGATGCCCCCAATGCCACTGATGCCGCCCACCGTCGAGCTGCTCGTGTGCATGGCCAGGCCATGCTGGACATTCATGCCCGTGAGGAGCTCGTGCTCAGTCTTGGCCTGGCGCAGCCAGTTGCGCAGGTCGCGCGTGCGCTCCACCAGGCTGGTGGTGTAGTTGACCGCCCGTGGACTCTGGGACACGATGGTATTGGCCGCCAGGATGGCACCGCCCATGGAGCTGTGCATGCGGCCCGCTGCCAGCTGGCGGTAAGTCTCCAGGCGATCGGCTAGGGTCGGTATCGACTGTGGTGCATGGACCGAGGCAGCGGCCGCCGCCGCAGCAGCGCTGGTGGTGGTGCTAATGCTATGATTCGAGCCGCTGGCCGTGCCGGCCATCGTTGTGGCCATCGACGAGGACTGCTGGCTGCTCAGCATATGCGACCAGCTGAGCTCGTTGGGCGAGATCAGCGGCATGGTGAGGGCCAGGCCGTGCGACGACTGGGATTGATGGTGGTGCGGCGGCGGCGGCTGCTGCAGCTGCTGCTGTTGCTGGTGGTGCAGCTGCTGCTTCTGGCCAAGTATGTCCAGTATTTCGCGTATCTCGGCATTCAGTATCTCCAGATTCTGTATGCACTCATTCGATTCCTGCTGAAAGTACTCCTTGCGCTTGTGCAGGTCCGCACCGCTGGCAAAGTCGGTGCTGCTGAAGCCCGAGCTGGAGTGCGAGGAGAGATCACTGAGCGTGGTGGCATCATCCTTGGGCTCCTGCTCCAGGCTCGGCTTCTCCTTCTCGTAGATGCGCAGCAGGCTCTGCTCCAGATGCCTCAGCCTGATGACCTTCTCGCCCAGCAGCGCGCGCGTCCGATGCAAATTGACTTCCATTTCGGTCAGTTCCTTCTCCTCCTGGATCAGCTGATCGAGCGAGTGCCTGGGCGCGCTCATCGTCAGGCTCTTGTGCCGCTGCTTGATCTCGCGCTGGCGCGCACGGAAATTGGTGCGCTGTGTGCGCAACGATTCCTTGGCCCGACGCACCGAGTCCCGCTCCAGGTGTATGCGATGCTTGAAGAACTCCAGCTCGGACCCAACCACCGAGCCAACCACGGCCGCATGCTCGTTGGCCACAATGTCCGTGAAGGGGTAGCGCAAGTGGTATGTGGTGTCCAGCGTGTGCTCCGGGAACTGATCCTCCAGATCCTCCAGCTTCTGCAGCTGATGCCGCAAGTTCTCGACGGGCGTGCAAGGACGCTCCACCTGCTGCAGCTGCTGCTGCTGCTGCTGCTGCTGTTGCTGCTGCTTGTTGTAGTCGGAGTTGAGACGCGAGGTGGAGGCGGATTTGGTGCGCGAGAAGAGTTTCTTGCGAGGCACCGTTAAGGCTTTGTTGTTATTGTTATTGTTATTGTGCTCCTGCTGCTGCTGCTGTTGCTGCTGTTGCTGCTGCTGCTGCTGTGCCTCCGAGTCCGAGTTGCCGTTGTCGCTGAGCACCAATGTGGCCGATGGCGCCGCCAGATATCGCCCCTTGCTGTAGTTGTTCGATATCGTTGTGTCCGACTGGCTGAGCGAGGTGTTGGCATCGTCCTGCAGCTGCAGCTGCTTGATGTATTTGCTGGCCAAACAGACGCTGGCCGCCTGCTTGCCCAGGTGGCTCTTTGGGGGCACTGGCGGCTTCAGCTTGACGTCCGTGGTGGTTGCCTGCTCCGAGTAGCTGAGCGAACGGTTCTCGCTGTTGCCAATGGACGGCTTCTGCGACAGCGAACGTTCAGTCTCCGAGTTGTTCGTCTGCAAGTGCGGCTCCAGCTGGGCCTGGACTTGCGCCTGGGCCTGCGCTTGCGCCTCACGCCGGCGACTGCGTCGCTCCAACGACAGCTTCACATCGGTCTTGAGCCGCACGTACTTCTCCTTCAGGCAGCGGTACTTGTCCTCGAGCAGACGCTTCTCGCAGCGCACCTTCTCGTAGAGGCGCTCCTCGCCGTTGTCCCGCAGGCGCTGCTTCTCCAGCTCCAGCTCGTGGTTGAGCTTGTCCCGCATTTGGCTCAGCTTGGTGGCATGCTCGCGCCGCAGCAGCTCCTGCTCGGAGCGCAGGTCGCGCTCCAGTTCGTGCAGCAGCTCGGCATGGTTCGACTGCAGCGTGGCCATGCGCGTCTTGTGCTCGCTGACCACCTGGGCGCGCTTCGTTTGCAGCTGATGCTCCAGCTGGTCGCGGTACTCCTCCAGCTGCAGCTGGAACGCCTCCTCCAGCTGATGCTGGTGTGCCGTCAGACGGAGATCGTACTCATGCCTGAGGCTCTTCAGGCGCACCTCGTGCTCCCGCTTCATTGCCTCCATGTCCTTCTGCAGCTGCTGCAAGGCGGCCGCCTCGTTCAGCATTTCGCTGCTGTGCTCCTTGTTCTTGAGCAGGCCCACCAGCTTGCTGGCCATCTTCAGGCTGCGCAGGCCGAGCTTCTCGCTGGCCAGCTGGGCCTGGGTCTGCGCCGATTTGCGCTGCAGCTGCTCCAGCTCGTGGCTGTGCTTGCTGTGCAGCTCGTCCAGGTCAAAGGGATTGCTCGGATTGCTGCCGTGCAGCGACTCCTGCTCCGACTTATTGATGATGAAGCTGCGCACCGAGCTGCCCTTCGAGTCCGAGTCGGTGTCCTCGTACAGCGGCTTCACTGTGGCCGTCGAGCTCTCCTTCAGCTTGTCCAAGTAGCTGCTCGTCTGCTCCACATCCTGCTTCAGCATCTGTATGGTCTGGGCCTTGGGCAGGCTGATGATGCGTATCGGCTTGTTCGAGTCACTGATGAAGGGGTTCAGGCTGCACATGCCGACCATGGCATCGGGATCGGCCAGGTCCTCATCCCAGACATCGTCGTCGTCGTCATCGTCCTCGTCGTCGTCATCGTCGTCGTCTTCGTTGCTATCGACGGCCGATGCTGCAGCGACGGCATTGCCGTGACCCAACGCCTCGTCGTCATCATCATCCTCCTCCTCCTCGTGGTCCACCTCCTGCGCAGAGGGCTGCTCGTGCTCCGCCTCCTCCTCCTCCATGGACAGCTCGGGCGACTGCTGCTGCTTGCGCGCATCATCCTCCTCAGTGGGCGAGGTGCAAATCCGTTGGGTCTCCACCAGATTGAAGCGCACGCTCTTCTTGTCCTCCACCGCGACTGCATCCTCATCACGCTCGTAGCGCCGGCGCATGTCCGTCAAGCTGGAGTCCCGCAGGATGCCTTTCACGCCACTCGCATTGCCCCCGCCCTCCGTCGTCTCCAGCTGGCGGCGCGACTTGAGGAACATGGCGCCAGTGCCGGATAGCTGGAACGAGCCTCTCCTCTGCTGTTGCTGTTGCTGTTGTTGTTGTTGCTGTTGCTCTTGTGGCGGCTGGGGCGGCTCCATGCTGCCGAATTTCATGGCCAGACTGATTTGCTGGTTCGTTTTGGCCACCTCGAAGCGTGTGTTCTTCACCGGCTGAAAGATGGGCCCGAAGCTCTTGCCGCGCGTCTCCAGGAACCGACTGACCCCACCGCTGAACCCACTCGGACCCGGAAAAGCCGACGCACCACCGGTAGTTGTATGAGTCTTGGAGTTGCCGGCACCACCAGCACCGCCAGCACCACTAGTCGCAGCCGACGTTCCAGCCGTCTGGCTGCTGCCATTGTTTAGAGGTGAGCTCATGTCGTCCAGCAGCTCGTCCGTTCCTTGCATGCTACGTATGCCCGAGTCCAGCTGCGACACATCGTCCGAGTTATCAATGATGGGTGTGGCACCACCGCCGCCGCCACCACCACCACCACTACCACCTCCAGCAGCACCAGCAGCAGCAGCACCAGTTGCCGTCGCTAGCTTCTGGCGCGTCTGCTCCACCAAATCCCGATAGACCGCGTCCAACGGATGATCCCACTGCGATTGCTTTGTGCGCGTATTATGATAGTAGTGGCCGCCCTTTTCCTCCGAATAGCTGAGCGTAAGAGTTGGGGTCATTAGATTACCGTAACATACGATCAAGCGAAATATACCCACCAGATCTTCCACTCGGAGGGCAATGCGGCCATAAGCCCCTCTTTGGCCAGGTATAACAAATGCGGTTCCTTGCTCGGATCGATGCCAATCAATGTCGCATAATCGTTTATCTCTGCAACGAAGGAAGATTGAATAGAATTTAAGGATTTTTGTTTTACAATTTGAGTTTTCGCTTGACAAGTTGTGTCGGAACTGTTCATATTATTGGGTAGAATATTTTAGCTATACAAAATGTGAGTTGATTTCTAATCATGAAGACTAGATGACCATTTATATGTCAAATTGTGTAGCTTGGGTGCCTATAGCTCTCAAGCATTAAAATAAATAATGAATACAGATTTTTTTTTAAACGTTCTAGAATTGTGTATGAATCGACCTAAAGACGGCTTTGTCATTTGGCTGTAGATTGCATACTTTACTTTACAAGAGGCCGCTGAGATTGCAAAAAGAGATTTATATATAAACTTCTCTATGCAATGACACTTTAAATACCAAAATTGTTGTCTCTAGCTGTTAAAGTTCTCGAGATATTGAAGATTATATTGACTGTTTTAAGCCTCTGGCTTTTCTAATCGTTCCCAAGAATCGTTGAATGTGATTAGATGAAGATATACGATTATGATTGATTAGACTAAGATATACTTATAAATGTGCTACCAAGTCCAGCAGCAGTTTTGAGTACAAATGAAAGATAAAGCACACTCATCTAGAGGAGGCTGTATATATTAATATATGTATATATATTAACCAAGAAGACATGTGCATGTATACATATAGTCCATAATTAGCTGTATATAGCGCGAGGCACTTCAAATATGGCGCCCGCAGCACAAAAGTGTTTGAGCCCTGGCCATTGTTTGTGCAGTGACCCACTGAGGCATGGATGGAGAGTGCTCATACTTTGTATGCCCCAAGAGCTATTAGCTGTGCCACAATAAGGCCCTTTAACAATTAGGACTAATGAAAGCAGTGCAAACTGTGTCACGCCCACAGCCACAAGGCATAGCCACAGCCACAGCCACAGCCGCAGCCACAGCCTCACCTGCTCCTGCTCCTGCTCCTGCTGTTCCTCCTGCTTTGTTTGAAGTGAAGTGAAAAGGAAATTTGAGCAAATATATTCCTTAGGCTTTTCAATGGCTCGGAGCTTTCAGTATGAATAGCTTTGCGGCGCAATCGGGATTCTGAATCACGGGCTCAAAAGAATTCTTGCAAGCGCTTAAAAATGCCATTTGGCTTAAACAAACGAAGCCCGGCTAAGAAACGCGACTGAATGCCGAATGACGTGGCCTGCATTCTGCATTCATTCTGAGTCCGCTCTCTTCTTCTTTTCCTCACACACACACACACACACACTCTCTCTCTCTCACTCTCTCTCTCTCGCTCGCTCTTATTGATTGCAGGTGGCACCACCTGCAGCACCTGCAACCACAATAATATCTCAAGCAGCGGTCAGCGCTCGTTGCCTGGCAACCTCAATAGCCACGAATAATTTGCGTTTTGGCCAACATTTTGTTGCGTTTAGGGTGGCTCTTAGGGTGGCTCGTCGTCATAGCGAATCATGGACACATGCACGCATACACTCACACACACGCACAGCTACTCAATCAACTCTTTAACACGCACAACCTAAAGCCTTGTTTTCCATGTTTCAATTCCAGCGTTCCCCTAGTTTAGCTGCTTATAGCAGAGAGGGAAGCGCACATCCCCAACGCACTTCCAGCATTCACAGCATTAAATTTCCTTTAATTATTAAACCTTTCCACATCTGGCCCAGTTCTCACTGTTCCTCAGAAACAATGCGCCTTGATATTGCTTTAAGAAGCTGTTCAATTCCGTCCATCCCTTTATTGTATGATTTAATTCTGTTGGTCAATAACATTAGCCGCAAAAGCTATTTCTTAGTTCCACATCACACTCCAATTCCGTCGTTCCTCTTTTTAAATGAATTTATTTTATGGGCAAACCTAGATTACCTTCAGTACCTCCATCGTTTCCCTGACACGCAAAATCAAAGTCGAGAGATTACAGTCGGAAATTATCCTTCAATTCCGTCATTCCACTTATTCCATACAACCGATTGAAACTGGGCACGCCAATAAACCCACTAAGCAGCTTACTCACTTGTATTTAATGGAGCTCTTTAGAAATTCATTCTGTTTCCCTTTCACACGTTCCTCGATTCAGGTTACGCAGTTCCGCAATGCCGGCGTTTCCCCCATCGATGTCCTCGAAACAGCTGGCACGAACTAAGCTAACTAATTGACGGACTTCCGAGCCAACTACCCGGGTATATATGTATATATATATGTATATATAAACTTTATGTAGATGGACATGTATCCATTTTCAGTTGACCCATTAACCGTACCCTGAAGGACGCAACAACAAAGTAGTAAAAATGTTTAAGCATTTGCCATCTGCGAACATATTGTATTTCATATATACAGTAATCACTCGCTAATTAAGACAAGGCTTACAATTCATTTGACACACCTTTACTGCTATATTCCCATATTCCCATATAGTATCCATAGTTATGTTAAAGTCATTGACAGTCACGTTCAAGTAAAAATCTAAGCTCTAGTTTGAGGCATTCTCGCTTACCGTGCGACTACTGTAGTGCTTAACTCATATCGGGTGGGTTTGGTCGCCTGCTGCGCAACAAATAGCTAAATTAAAGACATGCTAATTGGGCGTAGTCTTATTAGTTTAAAACTTTGTCCAATTGGAAAATGCATTTCAGCCAGGGAGACTCGAAGTCTTGAGTCATAGATTTAATAACTAAATTAAAAAGAAATTGGATTTTGCTTCTGTCGATGAGCAGCCTTCAATAGATGTGAATGTGGTATATAGATATACATAGATATTTAGTTAAGATGGTTCACATTGAGGTGACAAGCTCTATTTAATATTTCAGCAGTTAAAATTGATCGATAACTCAAGTGGTTGTTGAAATAAAGCTGACTTATTGCCTAGAGTCTATTTATCAACCAGTATCAATCAATTATTAAGGTAGGGTGTGTTATATACGTATATATTGTATGTATATCATCAATAAATTCTCAGTTGACCTTGCTGTTTCCATATGACAATTGGATTATATACTGCTAGCTTTTCCTGCTTTGCTCAAAATCGATAAGTATCGATTGAGCATTTGCAGTTTGCATTTTTGCAGATTCTCTAACATATTCCCTAGGTATTCGATTGACATATGCTTAATGTGTATGAACATGAACAAGCAAACAGGGTAAAGGTTTATCCCATAAATACTTGAACATTTCAAATACATTAACAGTCAATTAACCGACCATTTACAGCATGCTGTTAACAGACATACATACATACATACATAGATAATCGCACAATTGCCCTAGATATACAGCTCTTCCTTCGACTTACCCTCGGATGATGGTAAACAGGCTTCATCGAAGACTTCCTCGCAGATGACCGAAGACGTTGCCGTTGCCGTTGACGACGCCGATGCCGATGCTGACGCCGTTGCTGACGTCGCTGCTGGCGTTGTGTAGCCCATGCGTTTGGCTGCTGTTGCTGCTGTTGTCAGCGCCGTTGGCGTCGTCGCCGGCGTTGTGGCCAGCGATGCGGTTGCCGAGGAGTTGCTGGCCATTGTCGTTGACGTCGTCGCTGTCGCTGTCGCTGCCGCTGCCACCGTCGCTGCTTTTAAAGCCGTTAGCTGACTTTTTCGCCTCAGCGATTTGTTATTAAATTCGTGCTGTTTTAGTTATGGCAAATTATGCCGTCAGATGTCGCCAGCGTTGCATAAGTGTGCAACAGCATCCTATACATATGTTGTGTGTGTGTATGTGTGTGTGTGTGTGGCCGTCGCAGCGAATTACGAGCTTAGAGCGAAAATCGAATGTGACCTAAAAAAAAGAGCAGCAAAAGGGAAATAGGGATAACTGTTAGCTGCAGTCGAGTGAAGTTGCTGGGAGAAAGAAGCGAGTGGGCGTGGAACTGGAGCGTTCTGGGCTTTGTCTTGCGCTGCGTTTGTTGCTCCGACTGCCTGGCAACAGCAACAGCAGCAACACACGCACACACACACACACATGCGTGTGTGTGGAGCCTGAAATCTAGCTTCGAGCGAATTTCTTATTATGAATTAACTTTAGCTACACACTCACACACACACACACCCGTGGCCAGGCGAATTGGTTGCGCAGGCACAACAACAAACTGCTAACGGTATAACGGTATTGATTTTTCACTTGTATTTAATTATGGTATGCCAGCCGCAGCCCCGCCCCGCCTCTCAACACCCCTTCGAACAGCAGTCACAAACACACACAAACGCACGCACACGGACATCACATTTTTGGCAAACATATTGCAAAATAGTCAAATAAAAATAAACAAAATCCAAACGAAAAAATTTCACTTTGCACTTTTGCCATACACGCACACGCACACGCACTTGTATATGTATGTCAGCAGCAAAAATAAAACAGAAAAAAACTCTACATATTATCTATCTATATATATGTATAAATACATGTATATATATAGATAGAGAGAGATTTATGCACTTTTTTAGCTAAGCTCTGGCGCTTTTAAAACCAAAACCGACCGATTCGACTGCCCCGTTTTATTTGGCTATGCGAGTGTTGTGCGTGCGTTGCCAACTGCAACGAATGTTGCCAATGTCGCCCATGTTGCTAGGCGATGCCCTTTTAAATACAGCCCAGCCTATCGAGTGTGAGTGCACCGCTATCGAGCAAATATATCGATAAGTACTGAAATAAGCATTGTCCTTTGCGCCTTTCGGGTGTGTGTCTGAATATTGAGCTAATGGAATGGACCATCGGGTGTAGGTCTAAATAGCTGTGGTTCTTGTCCATAATAGCCTGTTAGTCTGTGTGATTGATAGTATGTGCGCTCCCTGTTGCCGTACAATTTCTTGTAAGAATATTCTATACAAGTCATACAATTTATACAATTTTGTTTAGAATGATTTTTAGCTTATATTCATCCACATGTACAAAACTATGTTTAATGGTGTATGTTTTAGCTACATGTAATGATTTAAAATATATTTTTAGCTCTGGTTTGTGTCTTGTTAGGGTTACAGCCCACGACAAGTTGGTGCCATTGCTTATTTTAGTACTGGGTGTGTGCGTCTTCGATATATTTATGCTGCTAGTGGCAGGATAATATCTCTGAAATTAAGTGAAAATGAACCGATTCAGGTCGGCTGTGAGCTTCGCTAAGCAAGCATCACATTTCGGTTAGTATTGATGACTATTTATGGTTAAGCGGGTGCCGTTCCATGCTAAATTGAATACAAGAAATTTAGTTTCAAATGGTTTTCAACTTGGCTAGGTAAGCGAGAGACTTTTCTTCAGCAAGACGTGTAATGGTGGTTGTATCGACTACAACTGATCGTGTAGTTGCTTAATTAAGAACTTAACAAAATACATGGCGTGCTTTTAGGCGCAGTTGAAATAATATCCAATTGAGATCTATTAATGCATGTTTAAGTATATGTAGTTAAATATAAAATGAAATTACTGGCCAAATTAAAACCAACTTCATTCATTCATTATATACATATATCTTAAATCTAATTTATTTATCTATTTTTATGTAGTTTCGCTCGGTCGTTATATAACACTTGAGACGTTTGTTATGCGATTTACAGCATGTTTTATGTATGGCTGTTCTATTTCGTGTTAATTACAAATAACACTATAAATTTTTGCATATATCTCAGATATTTTGCATTTTACATTGCGGCGCTGCCATTAGGTAAATGCCATCATAAATTTTGTTGCCAGCACCCGCTCTGGCCGTTTACGGCTGGCGGCGGACGGCGGACGGCGAACGGCGGGTGGTTGGTCCAGGGGAATGGGCGGGTGAGCTGAGGTCAGGGCTTCCGTGTAAATCAATGCCAATAAATATATTATTGGCTTGCATCGAACGTTTGCTGCGGTTCGCTCAGATCTTTTACACTTGGAGATGGCACGAGTTGTACGCGCTGCTCCCAAAAGCACGAACCCCGTGACACGATATGCACGACATTTGTTGATAATTTAAGTAGAGAGCAAAAAAGGGCTAAAATAAAAAAAACAAATATATTAACTGACATAAATCCATATTTGTATGTAGTTTATCGATTGATTCGATTTCCGTAGCTTATCGATCGGCTTATCGATATATGCGTTGCTGGTATTACGAAACGATTCGCAGATAATTCTGATACCAATGTTATCGTTGACACTAAAATCATCGAATGATATCGATTTGGCTTACCAGCGACTTCGTGTCACGCTCTCATCTCTAGCCATTTGACATCGCGTAAGTAGCTGATAATTGAGGCTGTAAATGCGGCTCATTGAATTTCAAAAATGAGAAATAAAGAAGCAATATAAACAGAAGAAAAAACAACATAAAATAAGTGAGAGCATTACAACTGGGTATATACGACTGTCTGATGCTCTGTATAACAACAAACATATATAAATGAAACATAAACTGATTTTATTTGTTTACAAAAAATGAAGAAATTCTTTGGTTACTCATATATCTAAAATATTATATATGATGAGTGTTAAAGATCGATATGCCTGATTTCTTTGTGTTGACAGCAAGGTACTTAAAGGAAACAACTCGAGATCATGATCTCATGATCTCTTGTTATCCTTCTCTCCATCTCTTTAAAAGTAATTATGCATATATGTAATAAGGCACAACTCCTGCCAAGCATTGTACATGCTATACCCTGTAATATACATAGACGAATATACATACATATATACGTACGTACGCTTATAGGTATATACATACGTACATATACAAATTGCCGCTAAAGTGAGAAAAGCTTTCAATAGAATTTAATGTGAAATGTTGATATGCAAATCGCATGTAGTTGAGCCCTTGTTGTTGTTGTTGTTGCTGTTTGTTTACTTTATTTATTTATTAATTATTTATTATCTATTTTGCTGTCGTGTTTGCATGCTGCGGCCTTTATTTTTATTTTTTTTTTCTCTGTTTCGGAATTGGAATATATTTAATCTATAATGCGAATAAATGGCAATATTTAGCTGATCCATAGCTGAACGCCCACGAGCTCGTTTCGTCTCTCTCCCTCTCTCTCTCACTCTGTTTCGCTATTTCTGTCCAGCCCCTGCTGGCCCTGGCAATTGGCAGGTCACAATTAAAGCCACATTCATCATACGCCCGGTGTTACACGCGAAGGAGCTAGTTAGCCAAGACAACCACCCCCTGCCGCCGTCTCAGCCCTGCAGAGAGCACAACAAACCCAATCCCCCACCCCCCTGTTTTTAGATCATGTTCGTACATGTGTTTGCTCGTTGGCATTTGCTTTTAAAAACTCGCTCGTTGACATGTTTATGCATGCGCTGCTTTTCACTAGTTATCGATAAATATGCACACACACACACACACACACACGCACATTTTCGCATAGCTCTCTTTCGCTTCGCTTATTAATAGCTTTTGATACATAAAAACTAAACACTTATTGGCATCGATAACAGTTCGCGCAACGGTAAATGGCAATTAATCACTCGATTGGTATTTTAATGCCTGCGACATTTCAATTGCGAACCAGTTCTTATTGCTAGTTCCAGGCAGCAGCAACAACAAAATGCGAAGGCAATTAATAAAAAAAAATTGATTTTTTTTAGTGCAATTTCTGTTGGCTTTTTGGCTATTAATTTGCGAACTGGTTCATGTTTAAAGTTCGTGCGAACTAGTTCTTGTGAACAACAAATTTTCAATCAATATGAGCCATTTGCCATTTAACAAATGATCGCGAAACATTAAATCTGCTTAGACACAATTGGAAGTGCAGCGAACGACTTGCAGATACCCTGTACAAATATTTCAGATTAATCTGAGAAATTTTGGAAAGTATTTCTTCAAGGTTTATTCAAGTGGTATAGTCTATATTGTATTAATTTTCTTACAGTTTTAATAATTTTTTTTATTTATTTATTTTTTTATTTTTTTTTAATTTTACTTTGATTTGTGATTGAAATTTCGCTCAATTTTGGTAATGTTTTTTTTTATTGTTTAAATTTCTCGATTTATTGCTTAGCTCGTATTTCATACCACTGTGCGCGCTTTAAAAACGTTTCATTTGCCAATGTTGTTCGCTGCATTTGTTGTTGCTGTTGTTGTTGTTGTTGTTTTGGATTAAATTGTTTCAATTGCGAACGTTGCTCACAATTTGTCAAGAGCCCAAAGTGGCGCTCGAGTTGTTGTTGCTGTTGCTGCTGTAGTTGCTGCTGTAGTTGCTCATGGCGCGTGGCAGCAACAGCAACAGCTGACAACAACAACAACAACAAGCGCTAAAGCAAACAAACTGGAAATAGGCAATTTCTATGTAATACCCTGTAAACTTTTGAAAATGTTCATTAACAGGGTCGTCTACTGTTGAGCACTTGGGTGAAACAATTAACTGTTGACTTAGTTTGTTCAGCATAGCTGTAATATTATTTTATAAATATATATTGTAATCGATAAATATCGATAAGCAGCTAAAATGAATTAAAATAGATTCACCAGTACAAATAAATGTGCGGTTCACTTAACCATTTCATAGAACGCCATAATATCGATAAGCGATGATTCGTTTATCGATCATATTTGTTTAAACGTTTATCGATCATGGCTGCTATCTCTATAGTTTAGTGGATATTTTGGTTTCAATATATGTATTTCTCTATGTATTAATTTTGAGTACCGATAAACGATATATCATATCCATAATCGATAGACTCTAAATGGACAATAAGTGGGCAACAAAATTAAATACGTAGCGGAGTTTATATTAAATTATATCAAGTTTTATTATTATCAAGTTTCTCTACAGGGTATTCGCTAGTCGTCATACATTTCACAGCACTCGCACTTTTACTCGTTTGCTTTGATTTTGTTTTGGGGCTTTCAAACCTAATCACGGCTAATGAAAGACAACACAGCAGCAGCAACAACAACAACAACAACAACAACAACAACAACAGCAGCAAACAACAATGCCTGCCTAGCTCAGATTGGCATTTGGGGTCGACCACGCCCCATAAGTGGCCAGAGCCAGCCCACCGCTTCCCGCCTCCACCGCCCCTGCGGCCCGCCCACTAGTGCAGCTGCTGCTGATTGACAGAGCGCCATTTGGCTGTGGGCACGGCCCGAAAAATACAAAATACAAATAAACAATTCGAGAGAGGGAGCTGAAGATGAGGAGGCAGCGCTGCATGCGAGGGCGAGGGCTACGTCGAGGGGTTGCTGTCGGTTTGCAGCAGAGAATCAGATTGAACAACTGTCCTCGTTTGGTCAGCTAGCGTCAGCGTCAGCGTAGAGCTCGAGTCCAAGCTAAGCCAGGCCATAATTTAGCCAAATGTCGTGCCAGTCAACTGATCGCAGCGCTGACTACAAACATGCACTCATAGACTGCAATACCCTAGGTTCCGGCAGCTGTGGTAAATGTTCGGCGATAAATCGTGCGAAACGGCAAATAAATCACTGTGGTTGCAGTGGCTGCAGCTCAGCAAGTTGCATTTACAGGGTATCTATAGTTGGTCAGCTGAAGAAACTCACTTTAGACACGAGCAAGCTAATTGTAGTTGGCTGAGCAAAGCATTGTAGCTTTTAGATATTAGTCTAGCAACCAAGAGGTGCCCTG